GCACTAGATGAAGCTCAACGGAAAGTGGAAAATTATTTCTTTGATATCCGAAAGCAATTATTTGAGTTTGATGAAGTGTTAAACAGCCAAAGAGACCGTGTCTATACAGAAAGAAGACGAGCCCTTGAATCTGACAATCTCCAATCACTTATTATTGAATATGCTGAACTAACAATGGATGATATCTTGGAGGTACGCATGCTAAACAATATTCTTTTTGATAATGTTTTCCCTTAGATCTCTTGCATAGTGGATCTGTATCTGATTCTTGGGTCTGAGAAATCAAACTTTGTATGGTGAATAGGCAAATATTGGGTCAGATGCTTCAAAAGAAAGTTGGGATCTTGAGAAGCTCATCAAGAAACTTCAACAGTAAGTTGTGTCTTCCATTCTCTGTGCTTGTGCAAAAGCTGTGTAAAAAAAGTGTCAGATGAATGATGGCACATCATTTCTTTCTAATCCTACCATTTAGTTACCGTAAGCTGAGTTTTAAACTCTATTGGAAAACCCAATACTTATACTAACTATTGATTGCTGCAACTGCAAGCTTCTTGTTAAGAATATCTGCAGAAAAGGTTGCTCTATGCTTGTAAATTTAGCTGTTTATGTCAATTCTATGGTGTGATCTAGTGTTTGATTTTGGCACTTAAGACTTTTAATGGCAATATTTCCTTGGCTTTAGATATTGCTACCTATTGAATGATTTGACACCAGACTTGCTGAGGAGCAATTGTTCAAGTTATGAGGATTTGCAAGAGTACCTTCGTCTCCGTGGCGTGAAGCATATTTGCAGAAAAGGGTCAGTATAAGAAGTTTTCGTAAGAAGAATTTCATGATTATTGAGAATATTAACATCTCGCCGATTTAAAGGGATGCTTAGTTATAATTAGAGGGGCAAACTTCTGCTTATTTTGATTACAAATTCTGCTAAAATGTGGCAACCATGAATGAATACTCAGACAAATATTTGTGCATGTTCTTTGTGTAATACTCACTAAGGTAATCACGACTTACTACTGACAAATGCTACTGCTGTGACCTTTTCTGAATATAAAGTTAAATCCGTATATTGACAGACCAAGTCTTGCAAGTGATCTTTTGTTATGAATAACTTGGGTTTGCAAACTAGGCTTGCTATCAATTTTCTGAAAGGCATGTAATTCTGATTATCAATGTTGTTGAACTATGCGTGTCAGGATATTATTGAGAGCAAAGCACCAGGCTTGATGAAGGATGCTGAAAGGTTCTTAGTTTTGAGTAATATTGATCGCCTGTGGAAGGAGCACTTGCAAGCACTCAAGTTTGTTCAACAGGCTGTTGGTTTACGTGGATACGCACAACGGGATCCACTTATTGAATACAAGCTTGAAGGCTATAATCTTTTCTTAGAGATGATGGCACAGATAAGAAGAAATGTTATATATTCCATATACCAGGTGTGTATCAAATTAAAACTTAAAGACTTTTTCATCAGAAGCATGTTGGTCAAATATATCAAGCTTTCCATTATATCAAGCTTTGCAATTCTAATTTTGTTTATTTTATTTTATTATATGGCAGTTTCAACCGGTGATGGTAAGAAGGATGGAGACCAAAGAGAGAGTAACAATTCAGTTGTCACAAATGGTAGGAGTAATAATAACCCTGATCCATTGAGCTCTGTCGATCCTTCAGCAGCTGCGACCCCCCAATCTAGTGCTTAACATCTACATGGACCTACACAGTTATCCCTGGAGAAGATGAAGGGAAGGTGCCGAGAAAATGGAAGCTTCATTCCATTGTATTGATTGGTATATATTACTGGACAATTGGTTGTAATGTAAAATTTTGGACGAAGAGGTGTTAAATCTCCAAACGTGTTTCTTAAGAATAGGAAAAGGCGGAGGGTGTTCAATCTACCGCATTACAGAAAATAGGACGGAAAATTTGGGAAATTTGTTGTAACACTACGATGATCATAATGATTGAAATTGCAAGATTACTGTATCTCTGTTCCATTCATTGGCTTGATCATAAGAAGTTAGCTGCATAGTCAGGCAGGCATAGTACATGCAATCTCTGAAACTGAGACTGAAACTGAAACAGAAACAGCACCTACAACCGTTGTCTCCAACATCTACATGCATAGGAGGCTCCTCTCTGAACTTCTCCTTGTGTTGTGGTAAGCATTTGAGAAGAGTTGAGGCCTTCAGTTCCGACACCGAGTTGCATTATATTGCCACTAAGAATCTCCTCAAAAAGTAGATTGATGGCATTTCCTTTAGCCGGAAAAACAGAAGAACGAACGACTCAAAGGAAATGGCTAAAGTTGGAGCACTCAATGCTTTTCAACAGTTAGTTACCTTAACACCAATGGCAATGGCTGTTTTGAGTTTGAGAAGTTGGCCCAATCTTAAAAAAGCTCCCTTGTTATCTTTGAGAAAGATGACTGGGACCTTCCCTGAAAGAGCCAAGCTTGGCAGGTGCTTTGACAGCCATCGTGGGTTGCAATCGGATGCGATCACAACAGCCTGAAGCTGAATGCATGCTGCTGCTGCTTTACCTGCTAAGCTGCTTGCTCTTGCTGTTGATGCCATGCGTTCAAGCACGCGCGTCACGTCATTCACCCTTATTGCAACTTGTTGCTACAAACACAATGCAGTTATTCATCACACTTGTTGCAGTGTGTCTGAAGAGGTCCCAACTTCAAATCCCCTTTCCCGTTGGATTAAAAAACAAATATGTTATCAAGCAAAATACATGATGATCAATTGGATCCAAATGCACAAGCCTTGAACCATATCTTTTCTGGTAAGGACTTGCCATCCACAAGTCTTGCTGACTCTATTTTCTGTGTTATAAAATAAAAAGCATTAGACTAATACTGTTGTTGTTGTTGTTGGATAATAAGTCTCGCTCAAGTTAAAATGTATTGACCTCCCAATTTGTTGGAGAAGACGATCGAGAAGTTCTCCTTCATAGAAACTAGATATTTAACAGAGATTAAGCAACTTCTTAACACAATGTATTTGTCGACAAAGACAATTAATTAGAACTCAGAAAGTATTAAATACCCATAGGAGAAAGGACGCACGTACTCTTGGTCTTTATGACTCGAACAAGAGTGTGGAATGATATTTTTCAAGTGCACGGAACGGAACGATACAAATGAAAATTTGTGCATCAAGTCTGATTTATTTATATATTTTGTTACAATTTAATATTTGTTATGACTTACGAGAGAGTTGGAAAAAATAAATGAATGGAAGATATGGTATCGGTTGGTTGGCAACTTTTTGAGGGTCAAAGGCTCTTAGAAGAAAGGGAGAAACCCAAAACTAATGCAATTAAGTAGATAGGAAAAAGGGAGGAGTGACATGAAATTTGAAATTTGGAGGAAGTAAGAGTGTGAGAAAGGCTAAGTGGGAAAGAAAAGGGAAGGAAGGGAAGGGGGAATCATGTTTTTGGGTTTGTAGATAATTAGTATTCGTTGTTGTCAATAAATATTGACAAAATAAATGGAGAACAAAAGAAAAAGCAGCAGCTACAATCATGGTGTGGTATGGTATCCAAGGACCAACGTCATGTGCACGTTTGTTCAGGTGGTGAATATGCTTCTGCTACTTGGATTGCTCGGCAATGCTGCTCCGTGGTCTGTCAAGGGCAGCCCATACTGCAGCAATCAGACCAACTCAGGAGCAATTCGACCTCACAGTGTCGCCATCGCTGAATTTGGCGCCGTAGGAGATGGGGTCACCCTCAACACAAAGGCCATTCACAATCCTATAGGCCACTAGTGTCAATATTAAGCTTATTGCCAGAATTCTGAAATGTTGTTTGTGAGAAATTGCCAAGTTTATTGTGCATTCAAGATAGCTTAATTATTTTGATGATTATTGGTGCTAGTCCCAAAAGTATAAGTTATGTTCAATCTCCAGTCCAGATGAGAGTTGGAACTCCAAGTTCAATAGGGCACTGCTATGCTATCTGTTTTGACCTTTGTGGACACATTTATAATATTTTAGCTCATAATACTGAGTAACTTCTTCTGTAATGTTCCAGAACTCCGATGATTGGCCAATTGTTGAACCATTACCATCATACGGTCGAGGAAGGGAGTTGACAGGAGGAAGACATCGAAGTCTAATCTATGGACGCAATTTGACGGACATTATCATAACTGGTTGGTAATATTTGATGCCGAATCAGCTCTGTTATATATATATATATACTTTGTTTGATTTGTAGATGTTGCTGCTTTCATCATGCAGGTGATAATAGATCCAGTGGTGACCAAGGTAGCATCTGGTGGGATTGGTTCCATCATAAAACCTTGAATTATACAAGGCCCCATTTGTTGGAGTTGATAAACTCAACTGGGGTTGTCATTTCAAACCTAACCTTCCTAAGTTCACCATTTTGGACCCTTCACCTGTATATTGCAGGTTAGTTTTATGATTCATCCACAAGGATTGACTAGCACCTTTTGTCCTTGCTTAGTCAACTGCAAGTGCATTGAGTATTATTTGAAAACTATGGAAAGTGGTAAGATTTTATGAATTATGGTGGGACTGAACAGCCATGTTACCATCCATAATCGGACAATCCTTGCTCCTCTCAAGTCTCCAAACACGACGGCATTGATCCAGGTGAATCACCAAAATCTCCTTTAAAGATGATTATACAAATATAAATAATTACAAACACCAATCACTCATGGTTGTCTTGTCATTCAAATATGTTAAAACCAACTGCACTTACGGTATTTGTAAAAAGCCCGTGGGGTGCTCAGCTTAACTTCTTACTATAGAACAAAAATAACGGAAACATCATAGTTTTGCTGCATGTGCGGATCAAATGTTAATCCTTTACCACACAAATGCGCCTGATTATCCACCGTCGTTGTTGTGGATCATCACTCTCCCCTTGAAAATTGCTGAGCTCAAATAAGCACATGATTAACTTTCATTTTTTACCAGCTGCATCAACTTTAAACTATGTTCTACGCCCTTCATTCTGCAGGTTGAACTATGAGCGCACAAATTTTTTCTTACCCATCCATTTTGTTGCATCCAGACTCTTCAGATAATCTCTGCATTGAAGACTGTCATATTAGTACTGGTGATGATCTGGTTTCCATAAAAAATGGGTGGGATGAGTATGGCACTTCATATGGTCATCCCAGTAGAAACATCATCCTTGTAAGAATTACTGGTAAAACTGAAACAAGCGCAGGAATTGCAATTGGAAGTGAGATGTTGGGAGGTGTGTCAGAAGTTCATGCAGAAGACCTCCACTTTTTCGGTTCCAAAACATGTATTAGAATAAAGACCTCCCCAGGAAAGGGTGGTTATGTGAGAAATATATATGTATCAAAATTCAAACATAACCTTGGATGGTATAGGAATAGCTATAAGGTTCACCAGTCAGTATGAGGAGCGCCCAGATGAGTTTTACGACCCAAATGCCCTCATTGTAGAGCGAATTACTTTAAAAGATATCATAGTAGAGTGTAGAGAATATCAAAACTGCTGGCCTGCTAGAGGGTTTAGAAGGTGAAAATTTTCTCATCATTTGCTTATCCAATATAACCTGTAGTGTGACCTCAAAATCTCCATGGAACTTCTATTCAAGGATATTCTGACTCAGTTTCTCCGGAAACTTGTACGCCTCTCAAGCAGAGAATCTCCCCAGAGCATTACTCGGTTTGTTACTCTCTATCTGATCATTCTGATGACATTTGGATTTCTTCAAGTAATCGAAACAGAGGTGCTTGGCGGCTTTCTTGGTAGATTAAGGAAAGTCACCTTCTTGAATGTCCGTGAATGTTGCAAATTTGATTCTTTCCATGGAAACAAACAATAATTGAGTGATTATTATTTCTTGTTTGTGCCTTGGGAGATGGTAATAAGAGATTATTATTTCTTGTAAATATGTGTACGGTAACAAATAATAATTGAGTGATTATTATTTCTCCTCTTTGCTTTTCAAGTAATACACTGTAGAAATTCGGAGAAAACAAGTCTCCTGTTGCTGGGTCGAGGGTGCATATCGTCTTCAAGTGTGGTATTGCGTTACTATCTAAACCGTCAGAAAACTCACATCATATGAGTCTTCCAGCAATGATTTATGAAGGAGCATTCTAAGTTGTAGTTAGTTTTCTATTTACTCCAATGAAAACTTAGCATAAAAAGTAAAATAACGTCATTGACAGTTGCTCCAGACAAATTGTTTTGCGTGCACACAAAACAAGAGCGCGGCAATGAAGCCAAATTTTAGTGAAGTTCATTTCAACGAAAGTAAAAGTACATTGAATGGCGAGTAAAGTTTAAAAGAATTACATCCAATGGGTGGTATAATAATTTTAAGAGTGCATATACATTAGTCTCCAAGAAAAACCGCATAAGATATCAAGAGTACACACACAGGTGGTCAATGAACCTTTCTCAAAGGTTGAGAATCAACTTTCTATTAAGCACAATCCTCCCTACCTCGGAGATGCCTCATTCCCATCCTTCTTTATAACGGAACACAAAACCTGCCTTGATATGTAGGTCTCCAGCTCCCTCGACACCTCCGTCAATTTCAAGTCAAAATTGTTTCGGTACTTTTGTTTTGGTGAGGGCGCAATGCCAGATGACGTTGTTGGCGAGCCAGAAAACCGCCTTCTTGGGCTTGAAAACTTTCTGCCGGGTGACCCAGGCATCCACCCTTTGGATATAAGAGGTGTTAAGCCTGATCCTACAGCAGTGGCCGTGCTTTTATCTGTGCTTGTCATCAGTGGTCCACGCTTGGTCTCTGACGGTAGGGGTTTCAATGAGTCCTCTTCTGTAAGCGGCTTCTGTTTCACAATCCGTTCTCTGGCTTTCTCTGCTGCTATCAATGCTTTCTCTTTGCTCAACTTGATCAGTCTCCAGGGGTCAATGCTGACACGGAAGCCTTGTTTCTTAGTTGAGGTAAAGGGCTGAGGATCGCTATCAATTCTTATGGACAACCTTCGGTTGTTCTGAAACTTTAAATGGCAATTTATTCCATAAGTTATGTGGCAAATAGACTTGTACGCCTTCTGAAATCCTGAAGATGCAAAACTAGGGAAGACTGTATGTATGCCGTATAAGATATGGACTTTACCTGAGTTGCACCGCTCCCTCTGCATATAAACCGTGATATGAATGAGGGTTTTTCAGGCGAATCAAAATCACTACTCACATCCGAGGAGAAATCTGAATCGTCATCGAATGGATCCATTTCTATGGGTTGGCTCTCCTCTTTCATTGCCAGAATATAGTCATATGTTCTCATTCCCTGCAGCAGGAATTTGTTGTGCCAAAATTTTCAGTGAGATAGAACATTGGATATACTGTTACTGTGAGACTGGAATTTGGCAAATAATGAGGAATGTTGGGTCAATAGCATACGAGAAATTGAGAATTGACAAGTACCTTCCGTATGAGAACCACATGAAAGAAAAAAAGCTGTCCCATTGCTGCTGAACCATAAGCTATCATTAAAGTCAGCAAAACCTGCAAGATTTGTATGGAGTTGGAACAAGTAACTGAGTGATGATTGTGATGGAGATTTGAGACAACATTAATTACCGATATTGTAGCAAGAACGCTTCTTGGGAATTCCACGTAGAGCTTCCTCTTCAGTTCCTGCTCCATTCCATTTTTATCTGAGAAGCACCTGACGAATATGGCAATTGCAGTTGCTCCTTCTATGATTAGCTGTGTCACCGGAAGCAGTAAGTTTGTTACCATGAGACAGAAAACAGGTGTAGCAAAGTCACTGAAATCTCAACTTGAAACTTACCAATAACAAAACGAAAATCATAAGGAGAATGAATGTGGTGTAGTTCTTTTTCCCGATGCAGTTGTTTAACCACTGGAAGATAGAAACAATTCAGTTTCAAATTGAAATAACATATCTTAAATAAAATACTTGCTATTTGTTCTTCCAAATTGAACGAGAAGAAAACAAGGACAGGATTCAACATCTCTCACCCTGCAGTGATGGTCGAATCCATCAACGCAACGGTTGCAGGTCCTGCAGTGCTTACTGTGTTTTTTCACCTGCAAACAGAATTACAATTACTTGTGTAAATACAAATTATGTGATGAGAGTGAGATATCTAATTGTTTACCTCAAAGTCGCAGAGTGCGCAGAAAGAGATGTCGTCTTCCCTTAAATCAGGAGAGACAGCGTCTTCCTTCATGAGGACAAAGGGAAACGGGAGCAAGGGATCCAACTGAGCGGCGGTCTTCCATGGATCGAGATACCTCCTCCTAATAAAAGTCCTAAGGATCTTCCTCTCCACCCTCCTAAAGAAGGTGACTACAATCTGCCCGAGAAGGAAGCTGTAGTTGAGCTTCGGAAGGCCTTTGCCACCTTTAGGTTTCTTCTTGTTCTTCTTAAGGCTGGTTCTGTCAGATGGGTCAGTGGCTGTGCACCTTATGAAGAGAAACATGACCGAAACAGCCTGAAATTCATATTTCAAATTTCGAGATCAAAATTAATTCACTCAGATATGAGATGTCATGCTGATAGCTATTGATAGAGTAGAGTAGAGTACCACAAAGGAAAAGACGGTGGTAACCGTGATTTCGGCGATTCTATTTCCGAGAAAAAGTCCGAGGAATGTGTAGAAGACCACCACAAGAAAACTGTAAACTGCGATTCCAACAATCTGCAACTCCCACATTTACATCTGGTTTCGTAAAGTTACCAAATGAATCCAAAATATGAAATAAAACCAAGTGAGTCGGAGTTACCTGGAGAGGATGGAAAGGGCGCTGCCAACCATGGCGTCTCCTGTTCATTTCCAACAACACTAGGCCAGACTAGTTGCTAATCGTCTTGCCGGTTGCTACTTCTCCGAACACAGAACCAGTACTACTGACTAACTTGTGCCTTTTGTCTTTCCTTGTAAATTCTGAGCAGATCCAGTCCAATCCTCTTCTTGTTTACTTAACTCCCTCTCTCTCTCTCTCTCTCTCTCTCTCAACGGTCGACTCTCAATGTGCCTTTGAAATTTGAAATTTGCTGGAATGAAATCGTCTACTTATTAGGCCCACCCAGCACACATGTTCTACACATTGAGCCCACTACACATCTTAATACTCATTAGGCCTGGCCCACTACATATCTAATTTAATCAAATTTATTTTTCTCTCTTTAGGAGCCTTATATATAGAAACAAAAACATACAATATATTTCATGGAATTCTACTAGTTTTAAATATTTTAATGAGAGACAAAAACATTTATATTTCAAATAAAATTTTGAAAAATTATATTTTATTGAGATACAAAAACACGTAATAAAATTTTAACCTATATATTCATCTTTTTTTAGATGCTCTAACCGAGTTATTTCCATCAACTTTTCCCCCAGCCCCATTTGTTCCTCTCCCACAACTGCTCTCGGCCTCCAAAAATATGAGATCCCTACACTATTTTTTTCACGATGTTCTCCTCCATTTCCATTAAGTTCTTAACTTATAAGACAACGTCCCTAAATCTAGTAAAGAATTGAGAAAATATCTGCGGATTCCACTATTTTTGTTCAAAATCACCGACCCACTCAAACTTCACCACTTATTTTAATTCAAGCTTGTTTTTGCAATATCAGTTTGTGAAAAAGTAAGCCCGCTAAACCCCACCATTTTTACAAAACTATTGTATGGATAAGTTTCATGTGTGCCACCTTATCAAACAAACAAAATAAACAAAATAGTTTAACGAATTTAGACAGCATATACAAAATTGATGTGTGCAGAGAGGTCAGTCCTTATCAAACAGGTTTATAGCTAATAGCTTGTACTTTGTTAGTTGATCGAGCATTTTTTATGGGGGCTTTATCCTCTTTGAGGTTATCATATTTGTAGATTTAATGAAAAAAATTATTTCTAATAGGTCAAGAAATAGGATTACATCCATCACATGGGTTAACAACTTCAATTTTTGGATAGCAAAAAATTAGGCTTCATCTAGCCCAAAAAAGTAGGGGACCCATACCAAATTGAGGGAGTTTTTTTTTTTTTTTTCTTTTGTATTTTAAAAATGAGTGAGCTCCATTTTTAATTCCATAACATGATTTTAAGGGTTTATTTTTCAAAGGATTTTAAGAGTTTATTTTCAGCCATTTGTTTGATTAACAAAACATACAAACAACAACCAGAAAACAATTTTGTGCTTTGTGTGTTATTGATTAGAAAAAAAATGTTGTGCTTTGTGTTTATTTTTCTAGATTGAAAAATTCATAACAAAATAGTGATGAAATTTAACATTCGTAGTTTAGAGACCTAAACCGAAACAAATAACATAACTAAATTGTGATCAGATAATCCAATGGTTGTTATGAAATGAAAATCTTCTTTGATTCTGGAGAATGTGTTAATCAGATAAATAAACCAACTAATGAGATTGAGATAAAATAATTAAAACCAATGGTTGTTATGAAATGAAATCTTATATTATCTGATTTCATGGAAACAAACCAACATATGAGGTTAAGATAAGAGAACCTACAACGGTGCATAAGTGATGAAATCTAACTTTGTCATAATTTGAAATTTTTAGAGTAAAAAGTTCATAAATTAAAATATAACACGTTCAAAAATCAAGTTCAGAAAAGTTACGACAAAAATAAATTTACCATGTAATCGAATTACTACATAAATAGTATATATAATCCCATGTAGAGCCCGAAAGATGTACAGGCCCTTATTAGGAGAGATTCTTTGTTAGAGCCCTAAAGATTCATCGGAGTTCTAAATTAGGATATATCCATCACTTTTCTAGCCTCATATACGGCTCCTTACTAAGAATGCTCTTACCACGTTGATAAACCTTTCCATTTATTTCAACCTCATATAAACCCATGACTACCTTGTAATGCAGGCTTTGCAGCATCAACATGCGAAACACGCACATTGAACGACAAGAAAACCATCTACAGAGAAAACAAGGTGATAAAATACATATTCAATACCTTGATGCCTGCCCGTATTTGTTTGTTGCGTCACGTGAAGCTTCTTCAAGGACTCCGTGGACCAAACATTGGAGGATATACTGATACTGTAAAACCGCATTCAACAATAACTCATGCACCGTAAAACTGGCCGAAGCATTACAGGCCTTAGATGCCTTTAATGCATGTATTTCCAAACCCAAAATTACAAATAAACAAAGCCGCAAGCTGTTTTGCTCCGAGCACTGTTCTCTCTCTCTCTCTCTCTCTCTCTCTCTCTCTCTCTCTCTCTCTCTCCCCCACTGACTGGAAGCGGAAGGTACGGAACTTTACTTCACTTGAGGCGGTTGCCATGAAAAAGTATATAAAGGTGTAGTAAATAATATCAGAGAAAGGTAAAAATATGATTTTCCATTAATAATGAACAGTACTAGGAGTATTTCGTTAAAACTCTCATTTTGTATTGCTGATTTCGGGCTTTTTTTTGTCAAATGACAGATTTATTAGATAGATATAAGATTAAAGAGCCAATGGAATTTGAATCGATGCCATGGTGCAAAGCAATTCTCTCCACCACTGTAATAGAGGATCACTTACCTGATTTCGAGCTTCTTGAGACTGACCACGTTATCGGGATCAGAAATAATGGTTTCGGAGGAATATGCTACAGTAACAAACGGAATTCTTTTCATGTGTTGTGGATTCAGTCAATTGAATAATCTGGAGCAATATCATACCATGTGAAAACCAAATGGACAAAAATAAAAATAAAAAGGTTTTGCCGCCCAGAAAAAGTTTCCAAACTTATTACTTACGGTGCCGTCAAAGTGATGGCAAATCCCTAGTTACGTGCAAAAGGAAGGTTATAAAAGCAGCCATTGATATTCAGATGAGTGTTATTATTTTCGTCCCATTGTCTTATCTCATTACTCACATTTTAATAAAAAAAAATTTAATTACAAGTTTGTTATTTTGTAATATAAACGATAAGGACAAAAGGTATAATAATAAATTTGACGCGAAAATATAACAAAAGCACTAGACTTACATTAAATTGCAAAATGAACGGACAACATATAAACCTAATTCACAAAAGAGACATAACAGACGACGATAGAAGGAATTTTTAGACAACTAAGTGTGGATGCCATTTTCAATTAAAAGGTAAGAAGCTTGCAGTTGATAATGATTGGATAAGATGGTAGTTTTTATTGAAGTGCATAATCACACAACAGCAAAACATTTAAAAGGTCATTCATGTTTGCAATCTTGTTTCTGGGAATTTAATTCTGAATATTTGATTAAAAACAATTAAAAACAAAACTGGTGTAAAGAAAGTTGTAGATAATTGAGTTGGTTTTTCATAAGTGAGGATACATAGGGGTGCGACGGAATCCATGGAATTCAGGCAAAGTGAAAGAAAAAAAATAGAATTTCAACAAGTCACAAACGCAGACCATAAATGATGACAGAGCCTCACCGAGAGTTAAAGAGATTGCGAGACAAAGCTAAATGCGGAAAACTGAAATAAACGCACTCCTGTTTGTAATCTAGGAAAAACATGGTATAACCACAATGCAGGTTTTCATGGAAAAGTTATTGGCACCGATATCAGTAGTCGTCACCTCTGGATATGACCTCTTTGCAGGTTGGCCGGAGTAAAATGGTATGCTCAAACTGAGAAACATAGCTGCCCTTAACATCACAGAGAGGAGGATAGGGCTGCCAGAAAAAGAAAATAAAAATCAACAAGGTTCTTCATCAGAACCAATTGCAAGAAGCCTTATGGCCAAACACAACATATAATAAAAGCTGCATTGAAATGTTGAGACGTTCCCTGGAAATTGCAAACTGTCAAATCTACATAAATTACTCATTAAAAAATCATGCAAATGTCAGACTGATTTTGGCGGTGGTTGGATGGTTAGCAAATTTAATTTACAGAGCAAGGAAGAGCAACCCAGATACACAAGAATCACATATTTCAAGTAGGTTTTTTTTTTTTTTTTTAACCCTAGATTCTTTATTTTCATCCTAAAATGACTTGAAGATATTTCCAGAGACACTCAATTAGGTAAACTACAAAATAAAATCCTTTCCTCAAGCATGTTAGAACATCAATTTAAAGACTTGCAACCATCTGAAATTGGACCCATTCACCTGATTCTAGACCAGCAAGTTCAGCTTCGGTCTAGAATCAGTCTGGAACCATAACATATGCAAGTAGTATACAATAAACTCTATTTATGTGACAGCAACTAAGGCCACTGCGACCAGAGAGCAAATCAGTTTACGGGAAAACTATTTCACAGCATAATAAAATCCAACTAAGCCATGCTTCACAATATCAGATAGTGATGAAAAATTAGTGTAGAAGCACAGCTATAAAGACTATTAATATACCTACATTTGGATGAGCAAGTTGATTGATGAAAATTACCTGCACAATGCCGGCATCACACAGATTCTTTAGTGCCATAAGATACTTAGTCTCTCCAAGGCGGTCTAAGTAACGCCTGCAGAAGGCCAATGTGGAGAAGTTCTTGTTAATTGTTGCTAGCAATTGCTTTGCCCTGGGCAACCTCAGTGGGATGTGGCCAGCTTCAAAATTTTTCATGTAATGGCTGCACTCTAGATCTTCTCTGACATACCCTTTCCCTAGATATAAGTTGTAGAAAATGGAATAATTAGCACAGTAAATAGCATGTGGACTACTACCTATTTCACATCAAATTGCTGCCAAGTACAAAACCTTTGTTTTACCAGTTGATGCAAAAGTTTCAATTGCGAAAAATTCACCCTCTTCCATTTTTGTCTGCTCCCCGCCTTTCACAATAGGGACAGATTTTCCAGCATGGATTTGATAACGTCCAATGCTATGTCCATTCAAGTTTCGAATACTTTTAACTGTCAACATCAGACAAAGTCCACCTCACATGTACAGAATTATCATACAAACGTCATAAAAAGTATAAGAGTTATTTGTATTACAATTGGCAAACCCATTACTCGTTGCTTGTCAAGCAAATACAACAATGAACAGAAAAGAAAAAAAAGTGAGAAATTGTGCGTTTGTTTTAAGAAAAAAAAGTGAGAAATTGTGCGTTTGTTTTACTCCCCTGGTTATTAAGGCCTTCCTCTTCAACCCACTACATCCCGGGTTCAAACCCTCCTTCCTCCACTTAGGCAAGAGAGTATTTTCATACACCAGTGGTTGATTTGGCTCAAGTATGTGTTGTACCATCTACTCTCATAGTGAAGAACAAATTTCTGTTCCATGCGCATAGGTAGGATATTTCTCAAAAAGTTGGGTATTTCCATGTGCCCCTTAAGAGTAGTAATCTACCACAAGTTTCCTAACCATGTAAATATTGTGTGCACTGCGCACACCTTTCCTCCTAAACTATTTATTCACTTCCATTGTGGCTTGTTATTTACGAATCTCTTATGTAGTATGTACCAATAAATCCCAACACCAAAGGTGTGCCTTAGTGTAACGGTATGGTCTACCCCAAGAAACCTGCCGGTGATAGGGCTAAGCATGCCCAACCAACTTTTCTTGAAATTAATAGTAGAAAGTAGCTTCGTAAAATAATTTTACACTGAGCATTTCAGATATTGATCTTGAGAAAGAAAGAATGTTCACTAGTTAGAGACAACCATACTTCCCTCACCACAAAACATAAGTTTTACTTGTTTAGAATTAGTATGACTCAAGTAAATGTTGCCAATAATTTTATTCACAAAATGTGTTGCTGATGAAGGCTGCACCTTTTCAAACAACTGCGTACCTTGTACTTTGTTACGAGTGTAAAAGATAATCACATAACATGGAAAAATACCTTGATAAACCTTTCCATTTATTTCAACCTCATATGATTCCATGACTTCTTGTATTGCAGCACCAACATCACAAAGACGCACATCAATTCCACACTCCTAAACAATTATAAAGCCAACATATTACAGAGTAATTAACCTTTGATTGAAGCACTAAATTCAAGTTTCAGAGAAAAAATATCCAGTCAGCTTGTAATGATAAACAACTACAAGTTATACATCCCAGAAGAGTACCAGAATTATTTGAAATCAGTTGAAACTAGTTTGATATGCATTGAATGACAGGAAACTTTCTACAGAGAAACGAAAGTGATCAAACACAATCAACGCTTTTAGTTTTAGGGTATGCTTGGGTGAGGAACTTCGAAATTCCAAGGCATTTAGGCAAAATGAAGAAGAAAAAATGAAGAAGAAAACGGATAACAAAAAGTTAGACAGGAGGAATTAGAAAGTGTACCTCATGAGTATTACAAGGTAAGTCAGGGATTTTCAAATGACTAGTACACACCTTTGTAATGTTCATGTGGTGCATTTTCTACTTCCTTCTAACTTTTTGTGATTCATTTCTTCTTCATTTTGTCTAAATGCCGTGGAATTTGAAAGTCCCTCAACCCAAATATAACCTTTAAAGTTGGAAGTACTCGAAGTAGACAAGGGCATCAAATGCTACAAGTTCATTTCACTGTCTTACCCCCATAATATCAGGCCTTTGTTGAATTGTATAATTAGCTCATTTGTAAGGTGTACGATTAGGAGCTAACTTTTATGGTCAGTGTAGTTACTTCTTTCTTCTCATATGCATTGTACACTTTACATAGCTTCCTTTGAGACAAGCATAAACAAAGTTTAATTTCACCTCTAGTGATATTCACCTCTTGTGATGAATGATTCCTTAATTGTCTTTCATGTAAAGATATTATCAGTCTTACTTTATACCACTCTAGTCGCAACAAAACAATTGCTAGCAATAATGACTTCAACCCACAATTGTAAAGATTTAGGGTCTTATTGAATTGTTAAGTAGATGGGTTCCATTGACACTTGCCTAAACTATTAAGGAAAAAAAAAAGTGTATTCAATGCATTAATTCTTACCTTGATACCAGTATTTGTTGCTTCACGCGAGGCTTCAAGGAGTGGATCAAACATAGGATTGAATGCTACTGTAAAAGCGCAGTCAACTATGTTTCCTGTAAAGTCAGCAATAACTCATGCACTATAAAACTGGCCAAGCATACTAGAGTTCATCAAAAACTGACTTCCCAACAGGCTTTAAAACACAAGAAGGATGAATTACCGTCAACATGAGTTCCAAAATCCAGCTTCATTACATCATCATACTGAAGCACAGTCTTGTCCCCTGTATTTGGGGTCCAATGAGCAGCAACCCTAACAGTAAGAACAGGAATGAACACAAACAGAATTATGTGGTAAACAATAGAAGAAATTAAATTCTAAGCTGACGAATTTTAAAATGTCTACCAATTCAAAGAGCATCCTGTCGGGAAAGCAATGCCTGCATCCAGACCATTCTCGGATATTAACTTCCTGACTGTGTTCTCCAGAGTCTCACACAAATCAGTCATCAACATTCCAGGCCTTAATATGCCTTTGATGTATTTCCGAACCTAATTACAAATAAACAAAGCCACAGGATGATTTCCTCTCATTCCTTCTATGCTAATTTAAGCAGAATACATTCGCATGATAAAACTGCACCTGGCGATGAACTTCTGCTGCTCGACGAACAGAATTATACATTGGTTTTTCAAGGCGCTCCAGCTCCCTCTTCTCTTCAGAGCTAGTCCTCCAAAGGTTACTGAAAAACACAAAACCAAATTTAACTCCTATCTTGAAGAAATATACACACAAATGATATACAAATAGCCGCACAGATCCAGTATCATGCAAATCAAACTCGGGCTGACTTTAACCAATAAGACGGTTACACTGAGAGCGTATTACATTGATGGTTGTTTTCCATTACCAAGGGTAAAATGCTTTTGGTCATGCATTCTAAGCATATTACTCAGTTTCAATGCACGTACATTAACCCAAAATTCCTGATCTATAAATTGAAAAGCTTCATAAGCAATTGTATTTCAATTGGCATGTAATATTATAACTTTTACTTATGTTCTAAGAAAACTAAGATTATTTCAGCTGGCAGTTATACATGAAAACTCTATGAAATATTTTTCATGAGAAACAGAAGTTCAGTAAATATTTCAGCCCCCTGATACTAAAGTACAGCTACTGTGGACTAGAACACTGCAGAAGCACGACAAAATAAATAAACAAATAAATAAAACCTATCCAACAAAACCCTTTTCAATTTTTCCAGGGAAGCTGCATTCTAACTCCCCAAAGTTGCAGAACAAAATATCCCGGAGACATTGAACAGAATTTTATTTTATCCCATAACACCTCCTCCAAGACTATGATTCACAAAATTCCTCTCCATCCAGGTTAACCAGAACATAGTGAGCACACAACACAACAATCAAAAGATTTGGCTTCTTAGTGCTGCCAATGCCTAATACATCTCACAGAAAAGAGAGCAATATGCAGCTGCAATCACCCAACTCAAATCAACTTCTCTAAGAGCGGTCTGAATTACAATCTTAAAACTATAGAGCATTGAAGAAACAGATAATCCCCACTGTCACTTCCTCTTTCACACGTTATGCACTGTTGGAGAATCACAGGTCTTAAACTTTCAATATTTATAGATTTGAAACAAATTTAATTGAGAAGCAATTAATCTACATTATACATAGAAATACTGGACAAGACATCTGCCTTCCCCCTGATACAAATAACATCCCAGAAACATTATCCAGCAATAAAAAACATGATTACACTTCTAGAAACACTTGTAAATAGATCATCCCAATCATGCCTAAAAGCAGTTTTCCAATCTTGTAAAGTAACATGAAACGATAAATCTCCGAGAAGTGGTTTCACTGAAACCTCATAACTAACACTTCTTTACCCTTCACTTCCCAAGTACATTCCATACTACTTATCCTAATTATTGAATTTTTCTACCCCTGCTCTGCCAACACCCGTCCTCTCACAATTGACATCAGACTTCAATTATTCTTCAATTCTTCTATTTCCTTTACAACTCTTGGCTCCTATCCCCCCCCCCCCACCTTTTTCCCCTCCTCTTTCTTCTCTTCTTTCTTTCCTCCATTATCTTCAGCTGGGATCAAATGTTGCCATAAAAATTCCTAGTTTTCCCCAAAATTCCACCTCAAACAACAGGCCCTTTTCAATTCTGGTACTAGAGAAATATGGGTTACACTTTGCTCCATGAGTAGAATTGCCTCTTGAACTAGTGGAGACTTACAAAGTTCCAAACACCATTAAAAGAAGTGCTGTAAATTACAAGAATAATCAAATACACTCACTCGTCTTTGTACTGTTGAATTTCACCCTCGGGAAACTCCCCAGATGGGAACAGGTCAACAAGAGGAATAGATGGTGGATCAGTCTGCCCTTGCATAGATTGTGGATTAGTCTGCTCATGTTGTGCTTTCTTTTTCCTGCAGATAAGGAAAGAAATGCAACAAAAATTCAATTTTAATGTTCAAACAAAAAACCTTTGTTTGTAACACCACAAAAATTTTCCTTACTTGCTCTTACTTTTCTTCTTTTTTTTCTTTGAAATGTCTGCTAAAGGAGAAAGGCAGAGAGAGAGAGAGAGAGAGAGAGAGAGGTGAGATGCAAAACTTGATACATTAGAAGAAATTAAAAACACACGAACAAATTGGAAGTATAAGACATTAAAATGCCCCACTATATCTGTACTTATAATAAAAAAAACTTAAAATGCCCCCACATTATTTCATTGTCCGACTCAGAGCCCTAGATTTTTGCTCATCCCTCACTGTAATAAAATCTCGGGGTTTACAGCGATAACTTGGTATATCTACTATTGGACCATCAACTAAAATATGTCTATGGTTGACTAAATGGCGGGCTCTAATACAATAGTCACACCACAACGGATTGCTTAACCTGCATGGAGGATTATAGCACCACCAGACTCTTAGATACAGAAGTTCTGAAGAAATAGTAGAAGTGATGATTAATTGAGAATTATAATTTTTTGTTTCTCTTTGAAAAAAGATAAGTATTATGATTGAGTAGAAGCATAAAGGCATTCCCTTTCATGATAAATTCCAAACATTAACGTGATTAAATAAATTTAAGGATTTTCTTTTGAGTGGGTGAATGCATATAAACACGATTAAGCATGAAGGCATTCATGTTTGTAGCTTGATTCATTCCTTAACATAGTCATGATGATGTTTACCTCAGAGATGAAGAAGCTAATTAATGCTAATAAAAGTTTTGAATGATTAAATGTTAAGGAGAAGATTTATAAACCTTTGTCGTCATCTTCATCTACAAGATGCAAAGTTGGAGATTGTTGAGCGGCCTCCTTGTTTGTAGGCTCCAAAGTCTCGTTTTCTTCTTCACAAGAAGGGATGTTTTCATTCAAAATTACCTCAGCCATCTCCAATCACCTGTAAACGTAAACAGAAAACAAATATAAAATTCAATTTCGAAACATCACGATTATTCTTCTTCTTCTTCTTCTTAATCAAATTGCACGGTTAATAAGCAGATGAATGACAAGGAGGGAAGGGCAGAATTCACCTGTACCGACAAGCCTACCGCAAAATTGATCTGTTGAATATACAGTTAGAGCCCTAGATGCTGATGCTGATGCTGGTGATGCTGATGGTACGATTCAGACGTACGAGATTTTAGGGAGGAGCACAAGGAAGGAACCGGGAGTCGGGGTTAGAATTAAACAAGATAAACAACTATCGGGGAGTTGAAGTGACGGAGGAGAGGGGAAAATTCCCAAACCCTATTTGCGGACTGAGACTATCAACTTAACTAGAGATTTTGACCGCAACTACGCCATGTTATTATGGAGAGGGAAATAAACATGAAATTTTGGTAAAAGTCAGAATTTATAAATTAACATACATTAATTCTCTTATTTGGATTCATAAGTATAGAAATTTAGAATTTCCACATAGAAAAAAATTTAGAATTTAGAACCTCCAAATCCTAAGTTCAAATTCCATGTAAATAGGTGTCATTTCTCAATTTTTATGATTGAGAGTTTAAAAATAACAAATTCTGTATTCAATTCCATTGTTCTTTTAGGTTAACCAAACAAGAAAATTTACAAATTCTAGAAAATAAAATCTCGTCATTTCAATTTCCATCATTTTCAAATTCCTTAGTAATCTTAAATTTCTTCATCCAAATATAGTATAAGAGTTACGAACTTTTTCTTTTCAAATATTTTTTACTTGTATAACGAGTTTGTGAGACAACCCATCAAAAGAAATAAAATTAGACTTATTTTTTAGTATGCACCATTTAAAACTCTAACTTAATCTTACCTTACTTCTTAAATGTCATATTTCTCAACCTTGCACCTTAAAACTCGTACTTCTCCGCTTTGCACCTTCAAATTCAATTTTCATTTCACTTTGTCATTTTCAGTCGAGTCTATCAATAAGTCTATTTAAAATTTGGCAGGGCATGAGTAAGGACCACTTAACTGTTGATATGGTTGTCACATCATTGCTATGTCACTTAATTGTAGAGCCTGAAAAATGTATCACTTTTAGTCTCCTTCTACCTCAATTTTCTTCATGGCGTTGGATCGCCTAGTCGACATTCAAGATGGAGAGAAGGAGAGACCTCAACCATCATAAGGAGAAGGAGAGAAAGGCAAACGTCATATTTAGGTCGAGACTCACTTAAATATTCTAAGTGATGGATTGGATAACATTTGTCACAACTGTAGGTTTAAGGCATGTGGTGTTGAGGGCTGGGAGCCAGATTCACGCTTCTATCATCACCAATCTGCCGTTTTGATCCTTCGACAAATGTTTTTCTTTCGTGCAATGGACTTGTTTATAGCAAAGAAGGCATGTAACCTATAGATGTTGTAAGTTAATCACCATGTGGTAAATACTTGCCTTTCAACACTTTAACCCAAAAAGCACTTGGGAGTATCTAAAGTTTCTAGCATTATTTTGCGAGAAGGGCATCATAAATCTTCAAGTTCCCGGAAGCCCATACGTATTGGCACATTACTTTAAATCAACAGAGAATCCTCAAATAAAAATTAGCACACATCTATAAAAATCATATCTCTTTCACAATATCACTTGAAATGAACAACGGAACTATGATCTCCATAACCTAACTCTAAAAATGTTTATTTTGATTCACACAAATTACATTTATCACAAAATAGATTAGATCGGGAGGAGAAAGCTTTAAAAAAAAAAAAAAAAAAAAAACTAAGTAAGATTCAAAGCTATAAATGTTATTCTAAGTGAGATTCAGTTTTAATTTGTCGAATTAGAAATTTCTCATTTGGTTTTGTTTTTGTCCAACTTCTCATTTGGTTTTGTAGTACTACCAACTTTCAATGAACCATTTGGTGGTTCTCACATGAACACTTGATTGGCCAAATCAGCACCTGCCAAAGAGGCATTCACAATTTTTGCCCGAACACTTATAGAAGCTTCCTAACAGTTGTTGTTGAATGTCGTTTTGAAATCTCATACCCCATTTTCACATGTTTTTTCTTAATGTTTTAAAAGATGACGTAGATAGTAGCTAGCTGGTCATTACTACGATTAGTTTCTAGATATTTAAAAAATTGGATAGAGCCCAAATGGGCCTAGGCAGGCTACATATGACTTTTCTTTTGTTGTTTTGTTAAAAAAAAAAAATTAGAATTACGACTTTCTCTCTCAGACAAAAAAAAGAAACCTAGACTCTCTCTCTCTACGACTGTTTGCGTCTTTACTTGCCATAGTCTTTTTTATGTCCTTGCTTTCAATAAATTCTAGTACTTTATAATTTATATAGTCTGACATTTTGTATTTTATGTTTCCAAATTAAAGTATTATGTTTTTTTTTTTTAAATATAAGTGAACACTTACTATATTATATAATAGATTTAATTAAAATAAAAAACGGCATAGGCCTAGACCTTTACTATGCCCGACTACCGACTAGAGATTTGTAGAACATTGCTTTGGATTTTTGGTTGGTCAAAAGCTTGTTGTAGCATTGGGTGAAAAAGAAGAGAGGAATAAAGTTGGGCATGTGTGGGACCGAATAGTGAAAGAGAAGTTTGCGCGTGAAGCGACGTTATGACTTATGAGTTACATTATGTTTTCTTTCTTTTTTTCTTGTTTTTTTTTTTTTTTTTTTATCATTCAATGGGTTAAGATTATTTTAAGAGTATCGTCAGTGAAGGGTTTTATATAATACTGAAAAAGTGGTGGATATAACTTATTTTAGAGCTCTGATAATCTTTGGGACTTTATAAAAGAATCTCGCCCAATGAGGGACTATATCTTTCAGGCTATATATATTTATTTATGTAGTAAACTGATTAAGCTACGATTTTTTTTTTGTGTTAGCTTTTCTTAAGTTGATTTTTGAACGTGGTATCTTAAATTTTTTTTTTTTTTTAATGAACCCTTCAACCTAAAAATTTCAAATTGTGACAAAGTTAGATTTCATCACTTATGAATCGTTCGTTGGATTAAATTCATTTATCTCAATCTCATTCGTTGAAAGAAACAAACCTTCACTTCGCCCTTTGAAATAATTTGATTTTCACGTATAACACAACAATTTACCTAGCATCATTTGGTAAATTAGTATCATACAATTTTGAAAAAAAATTATTTGAAAATTTCATCCATCAATGCCCATGAACGTTAAATCAATTTGAAATTTTAATTCTTATGGAATTTTAAACAATTATTAATTAGCCAAATTGCAAGAAAAATAAGTAAGAAAAAAGAATTAAAAATAATAAAAGGAAAGTATAAGTGTATTCACATGGGTTGCTACTTTTTTTTGTAGGATCCACTATTTTTTTGGGCTAGATGTAACCCGATTTTATACTACCTAAGAAAGGAAGTTATTAGCCCCAATAGTGGATCTAGCCCCATTTTCCGGCTCATTGGGATGAAATTTCTTGCTAAGGCTAGAAATGTGGTAGCCTCATGGAGGATAAAGCTCATATTGAGGATGCTCTAAGAGAAGCCATTTGTGGTGCATCAGACTATCGCAAACTAAACTAATTTCAGAGACTCAATTAGACATGCTTAGAATAGACTAAGTTATATGACTTAGTGAAATTGTGGGTACAATATCAGACTAAGAAGTAAAATAATTAACAAACTATAATATTATATAAAATGTTTAATCCATAAATTAATATTTTATTATTGATATTATATTTTCTTTTTTCTAAAGAACTCTTCCACTCTCTCGGAGCACCTCTCTTCCACCTTCTTTATCTCATATCGAGTAATGCTAGAGAGACTAAATTTATAGACAAAATTAGCAAACCAAATGATATGTTACCAATAAGAAATGAGCATGTTTATCAACACTTGAGTAATAATTAAATCATAAACTTTTTAATCATTTAGTTTATAAAATTTTGTCTACAAATTTAGCCGCATTACTCATTTCAAAAGGGTAGCAGATTGTTTATTCCTTTGTTTCTCCGTCCGACTCTCTCCATCCCATCTCCCTCTTTTTCTTCGATTTTTTGCTAGATCTTTCCTGCAAAACGCTGATTTGAGAATCCTCAATTCCGTTGATTCCAACATAATTTTGAATATTTAAATATTGTTCTGATCATAGTGCTTTTGATGTTACGACCTCCCTTCAACCATTGCATCACTGCAGCGGTGCTCATTCAACAGTTCGATTGATGAAGAAATGATCTAATGTGAAATCTCCAGTGTTCTTGACCTCTAGTATTCCTTCAAGGCGAAGACATGCAAACTGGTCCTAGACAAAGCAAAACGAAAAGGAGTACCAGTTCGATGTTTTTTGAGAGGTCTTGCTAAGACGTCCTAGTGATGGATTTAGTTGAGGCAAGTTCTCCCTTGTCCCATTAAACTTAGTCATGTTTGTAACAAACACCTTGTCCCATTAAACTTAGTCATGTTTGTAACAAACACTAATCTACGCTAATATAAAATTCAATGCAATCCGGTTAAAGTTAATGATAACAAACAAATGCACCATTTGGAGGATAAATGGTGGCTGACGTCAGATCTACAACGAAGATGTGGTGAAGGCGGGGGGGGGGGGGGTGGTGGTTGTGAGGGTTAGAGAAGCCCCCAAATAAATTCATCATCCTTATTTGACAATATTAGGGAGCGTCATACTTAAATTTTTAGACATTTCAAAAAATAGTTAGAAATAAATTTACCCACAATTGAAGACCAATCTAGCTGAGATCTAGTTCCCGATCAGCAAGAAACGGGTAAACCTAAATATTTTGGATAAATGGTTTTAGTTGAGCGAACTTAAAAGTGAGGGGCAAATTGTAAAGTTCAACAAAAACTAAAATGTGGGGAACTTAAAAGGGAGGGGCAAAAAGTAAAGTTAAATGATAAATGCATTTAAGGGTAATTGTAAAGTTTAACTAAAATGTGTGTGTACTTGTCCTCAAAAAAAAAAAAAAAAACTAAAATGTGGGTGTAAATAAATATTCCCTTAAATTAAAAGAAAATCGAAGGCAAGGCCCAAAGGATTTAAAAGCATGCAGGGCAAGGCCCAAGGTCGGTTCGGTGGCAATACTATGGCAGTAGGGGTTTTGGAAACGAGGGGAGGAGAGAATTCAGAGACAGATGATAATGGCAGTGGTACAGACAGGGTGGAAATTATGGTATTCATATTCATGGGGGTTAAGAGTAGTAGGGGGAGTAGGTGGTGTTTCAAGAAGAAGCAGTGGCAGAGCAGCTGCTGCTGCTGTAACACTAAGAAGAAAGGAAAGCTTCAGTAACTGGGCGTGGTCCCAAAAACATCCACCACCGCCACAATCTTTCTTCTTCGTACGGTGCTGTAAGTATGGAAGTAACAGCAGCAGCAGTAGCAGCGTCAGTGCTAGTAATAGTAATGGGCCTAATGGCTCCAATGTCGGAAAGGGATATCTGCAATCTACGGACCAAGAGCTGATGAGCCAGTGCCAAATGGACACTTTCAAGACGTCGGGTCCGGGGGGTCAGCACCGTAACAAGCGAGAGTCTGCCGTACGCCTCAAGCACCTCCCCACCGGTATTACTGCGCAGGTGATCCATTGCTCCTCTCTCTCTCTCTCTCTCTCTCTCTCTCTTCGTAGTCAATTCAATTAATTGGAATTCCATTTCTTATTTCTCAGGCTGCGGAGGACCGATCCCAGCATATGAATCGTGCCTCAGCCTTGGCTCGCCTTCGCACTCTTTTAGCTCTCAAAGGTGAACAACTTCATTCCATGTCAATATTCTTCTTCTTCTTATTATTATTTTTAATTATCAAATTGTTATTTTATGGAGTTATTCTATTCTAGTCTAGTCAGGAACACCGTCGATCTCGATGCTTATTCCCCTCCTCGAGAGCTTCTTCAAATTCTTCCCCCAAAGTCTACCATCAGAGGCTCAGATTGTGGTCCCCAAATTGGTCCCAACAATCCTAAGTTCATTTTGGTATGTTAATTCTCTTACATTAAGTCATTCTTTCTACACTATCGTCTACCGCTGTGATCGATCTTATACTAGTCATTCTCCTTTTGCAGGGAATGCAAGCTCTGCTGGATCTCATTTTCACAGTTGACGGTTCTGTCTCGGAGACAGCAAAGTTCCTGGGGTATACCCTTCCCAATATTCTCTACACTTTCTCTATAATTAATAATTATGCACATTATCCATATTCTCTTCTTACAATCCTTTTCCAGTTGGCTCCATCTTAGATTGACTAGCCTGTTTGTATGTAGACACCATGTACATGCACCAAGGCAACAGTAGTGGTTTCAAAGTACAGCCTAAATATGTTATCATTAACAGCAAAAATTCCCACTCTTCTTTTACAATAATAATAATAAATAAAAAAACTACCATTTTCCAGTTCGAATTAACTTCCACTGGTGACAGGAACGACCTGCAACAATAAGGGATAAAATAGGATAGACGGGAAAATGATTCTGTCTGATGATTCACTTACTTACAAATGGAAAGTTTTTGTTTATTTTGTGCAAACATCAGGGCCCGGAAAAAAGTTCATTATGTCTAAACATAATTCTTCTGTTTGATAGCTTACTTGCTAAATAATGCAGGTTGAGCACTGGTGCTCTGTCGCGGTTAATACTCTCGAATGATTCTCTCCGACTAGCAGTCAATGAACTAAGGTTTTCCAAGGTAATACTACTAATTTTCACTAAAGGAAATATCACTTCATCTTCATATTTTAGCTTTTGACTTCTGGATAACAACTTATTCCTGCTATTATTTGGTAACTAGATGCTTTCTGTAATGCCATTTGGGTTTTGAAGGGTCAGACACATATATCCTTAACCCTGCTTTCAGCTAGGCTATGTCCTGTGGCAAACCCACAACCTTTAGGTCACAATGAATCAGCCGAAGCTTGCAATGGAGCAGTGGGCTACAAGAAGTTAATGAAACTTTGATGTTACGTTCCACGCATGATATTGTTTAGGGCCAAGATTAATAGTAAAATTAATTTAACAATGAAAAGTCATAAGAAACTACAAACACCCATAACGCACCAGAAAATTCAGAGTAGGAAACTAGAGTAATACAAGCAGAATTTTGTACCCACAGTATGTCCCTTCGCAAATTTTAGAAACTAGGTAGTTTTAAATTGCTTCGACTCGTGTAGTTTAGGGTTGGTTCAACTCCAATGCGAGTAATAATTCCTGTAGAGTGTTGTGCAAATGGTTGGTACGAGATTAGAGGGGTAAGGAAATATAGAACCTGTTTTTAGAAGAAGAAATGAACTGGATTCACTCCAGGGGCTTAACACCCAAGCTTGGCTTCACACCAAATTCCTTTCGCAGGAAAGAGATCAGAGTATTTCTGAAACTGAATCGTATTTATAAGCTTAATTGCTTTGCCTAAAGGGACTTACATATATTTATAGTCCAGATAACTCTTAATGGCAAAAGGATTTTCGACTCCTATAAAACTCTAGATGCATTAACTTATTAATTTCTAGAAAGCTGCCTAACAAAGGCTTGGAGAGTAACTCCAAGGTCCATTGAAACTGAAATGAATGCACCCTCTATTTTTCTGGAACATTTAGAACCATAAAAGATAATAGTTTGACTCCTGGAATAGTCCAAAAGAAACAACTGTAGGAAACATTGATCCAGCCACAAAGCGAAGGCAGAGCTTTGTGGCCTCTTCCTCCATCTCTCTCAGTGAAAAACCTTAAATGATTTAGCACTGATGTCCTCATCAATTTTATTTCGGTGCCGTTTCTGTTGACCAAGAATCTTTTCCATATCAGGTTAGTGGGCTATTTTTCCTACTTCTAACTTTCTAAGCAATCTAAAAGGTAAGATAACAATACGAAGCCATTTGGCCCGTTTCTCCTTCTCCTTTGCGGGGACCAAGATTCTTCAGGGACTAAGAGTGGTCAGTTGCATAGCATCCTTGTATAACTTTCTAGCCAAAAGTCAGAGGTTATGATCGTTGGCATTCTCAGTTGAGGGGCACCATTTTTTTTTCCTGTACGCCAGGCAACCATTGTTCCAGGATTTTCTTTCCGGCTTTGTTCCTTTCCTTGCTTGTACTTGCATCAGCCATAACGCATGGTACTTGCACCAACAAATTATGTTTGCTTCTACAGTTGAAATCAGTATGGTTTGGATTCTAGGAAAGTGAAATAACAGAAATGAGATTTATACATTAAGAGATGAAAAAACAAAAGTTTTGAAGGGTAAAAATTGTGGAAGATAGAAAATTATGCTTGCCAGAGATTCAGATTGGCAGTAATAGTAGGAATTTTGGGGCTGTTTGAAGGGCTAAAGGTTCTAGAGAAGACCTGGGTTCTAGTTGCTTTATTTTTGTAAGAAAGAAGTGTATTTTCAGGCTTTGCCACTCCACAGAGATAAGAGAAGTAGGGGCTCTTTTAGTCTAGAATAGAGTGGCGTGGTAATAATTACCCCCACAAACACCTTCCTCACCCCAAACACACACACACACACAGACAATACAGAGGTATCCTAGGCACACGTTCCTTTGGTAAACAAATGCTCATATTTTTCTTTTCTGAGCCTGCATTCTTTATGTAATGTATCTTATGTGTACTTTATAGAACATTTGCTTTCCTGTTAGGGCAAGAACACTGAATATGGTGGCCACCTAGTAAACGCAGAAGTTAAAAACTAAGTACTCGGTTTATAGTTTAGGCGACTAATATAACCATGGATTCCATACGAAAATCATATTTGTGTGATCTTGCGTGTGGGCCAAAGATGAAAGTTGCATAAACTATACTTTATGTTGCATGTGACATAAAATTCATTTCTTTTATCCTAAGATTCGCTTTCCTGACTCAAGTTTGTAATAGTACAAATGAGTGCTGACACCCAAAATAGTCGAACATGTTCATAAAAGCAGAAATTGGGGATTCAAATAGGCCTGTGTGAATAAAATTGCTCTGGAAATTCTGATAAGAGGTGAGAACCAATTTTTAGTTGACAAGGTGTTATATGTAGTCTGCCTGAAACCTTATTTTTTATATATAAAATAGAAAAACCCAGGAACACAATATATTTAAAATAACAGATGAGTACAAACTGAAACTACAAAAAAGGAAATGCAGAGTACTAGGAATTCACTTACAATTGAAGCTAATTTAACCATAAACATTAAAAGATATTTTGTATTCAAACAACCTAGCACACCCCTAAATGATGGATGAAAATCTTAGAGCTGCAAAGCGGTGAAAAAGGTTGAGGGAAAACTTGAAATCTGGGATTAACTATGAACAAGGAGGTGGCACCACGCAGGAAGAGCTGGGGGAGTGATAATTGTAAACGAAGTTAGTTAGCTGAATTTTAAGAGGGTCGGGTAGTAGAATGAAAAGACTATATTATTTGGTTTGAGGTTGGAGCTGATCTAATTGTTTTGAAAGAGACGGAAAACTGTAGATTCATAGGAAGTTAATAAGCAGTATTTGGGGTAGAAGATACAAAGATTGGGTGTCAATACAGCATGTGGGAGTACCATTGAACACCTGAACTACCAATGTTTAAGAATCAATTGGAGGAGTTATTTTTCTCTTTTTACAAATCGAGGGGAGAAATAAGTCTGATTGGTGGCTGTCTGGAATCTATGCCTCTTACAAAGCTAGGGAGAGGGTACAATTAAAATATTATTGACTAACTAATTAAAAATTAACTGGATGGTTAGTTATATCCATTCAATTAGATAGGGCTATCAATTAAATGTTAAACTAGTAGTACTTTAATTTATAGATTGCCCTTTTCGTTTTTTCAGTTTTGATTCAGAGGTTGCCTGCCGTAAGCGCATATCATGATAATGAAATATGAATAAAAGCTTATATTTTGTAATATTGAGTTGAGCACATGTTAAACTGGGTTCATGCGTAGGAATACCCAATGATTAGTTAGAGCATGTGATGGTAATGGCTTTTTTTTATTTTTTATTTTTTTGGAAGAGACAGTAGTGGCTTAATAGACCCAAGATATTATCATTTGTGAAGTAAGGGTTAGAATACCCTATAGAACGATAAAACTTCCTTTGCAAGATTGTATTTTACTCAATGAATTACAATTACACTGAAAAGAATATATATAGCCTTTTGGCTCTTTACAAATCTACCCTTGACTATTATAACTAAACTTATAACCATCCTAACTAATTACAGTTAATAACAACCTAACCACATTTAGCTTTTACTTAACTATTTAACATCAACAGAAATGGAAGATTTGTTATCTTCCTTAATACACCCCCTCAAGCGAGAGGAGGAATCAGAGGGGATTCCAATGGGAAGCTTGGAACACAAGTATCGGAACTGAGGTTTAGACAAAGATTTGGTATGAAGATCAGCCAGTTGATCAGCACTACAAACAAACTGGACTTTGAGGAGATTAGCTAGAACTAGTTCACGAATATAATGATAATCAATCTCAACATGCTTCGTGCGAGCATGAAAAACAGGATTAGAGGCTAAGGAGATGGCTGAAATATTATCACACCATAATGTAGGCAGTTTGGGAAGAGGACAGTGAAGGTCACGAAGGATTTTACAAACCCAAGTGAGTTCAGCAGCCGTATGAGCCAGAGACCTATATTCAGCTTCTGTAGAAGAACGGGCAACAATATGTTGTTTCTTGGCACTCTAGCTGATGAGGTTGGGACCAAGAAAAACACAGTAGCCACTGGTGGAACATTGATCAAACGTGCTGTCAGCCCAATCAGCATCGGAGTAGGCTGAGAGATCAATAGTACCCTTGGTAAACCATATGCCTGGAGATACAGAACCTTTTAGAAATCGAAGAACACGTTTGGCAGCCTGTAAATGTTGGTCACGATGAGAATGCATGAACTGGCAGAGTTGATTGACAGCAAAGGCAAGCTCTGGGCGAGTCCATGTGTGGTATTAAAGACCTCCAACAATTGAGCGATACTCAGTGGGATGGGGTAGAAGAGAACCAGTATGATCCAGTTTGTGGGAGCCAAGGGGTGTGCAACAAGGTTTGGCACCCTGCATATTGGTCCGCTGAAGAAGATCAAGTAAATATTTAGTTTGATGAAGAAAAATCCCCTGAGAAGAACGCTGGACTTCCAGCCCCAAGAAATAGTGTAAAGGACTAAGATCCTTCACTGGAAATCGATCACCGAGCTGGTGAATGAATTTATGACAAAGATGAGGATTAGGGCCAGTGACAAGGATATCATCAACATAAACGAGGACGATAACCAATTGAGGACCAGGAAGTACAAACAGAGATGCATTAGATGAAAGCCAAAATCTTGCAGAGCTTGAAACAGTTTTTCAAACCAAGCACGAGGGGCTTGCTTAAGACCATACAACGATTTTTGAAGTTTGCACACGACTGGGAAAGAGAGGATCAATAAAGCCCGGAGGTTGAAGCATGTAGACATCCTCTTTTAAATCCCCATGAAGAAAAGCATTGCTGATGTCTAACTGGTTTAGAAACCAATTATGTTGAACAGCAAGACTAAGGAGTATGCGAATGGTAACCAGTTTAGCAACCGGACTAAAGGTCTCTTGGAAATCAATACCAGCTTGTTGATGAAAGCCCTTGGCAACAAGCCGGGCCTTGTAACGATCCACAGTACCATCAGGTTTCTTCTTGACACGAAACACCCACTTGCACCCAACAATGTTTTGAGAAGAATGAGAAGGAACTAAGGACCAAGTTCCTGTAGACAGTAAGGCATTGTACTCATCCTGCATCGCAGCTCGCCAGTGAGCAAACTTAGATGCTTGTAAATACGTACTGGGAACAAAATCCAATGGAAGAGGCAGAGGATGCTTAGTTGCTGCATAAGCCTTAGGTTTATAGATGCCTGCTTTGGATCGAGTAACCATAGGATGAGTATTAATCAGAGAGGTAGAAGCAGAGTGAGAAGCATCCGGAGGTGGAGAATCAGCTGGAGTGGGAGAAGCACTGGGAGGGGGTAGAAGCATCAGGAGGTGGGGAAGAATCAGGAGGAGAAGAAGCAGGATGAGTATACCTGCTAAAATGGAGATCCATTGAAGGAGAAGAAACTGGGGTAACACTGCCAGAGGGAGGAGGAGAAAGGGGCAAATACTGAAAAGGATAGTAGGCTTCATTAAAGATTACATGGCGGGAGATATAGACTCGGTTACCAATCGGATCAAAACACCGATAACCTTTGTGCTGAAGGCTATAGCCTAAGAACACACAACACTTGCTTTTAGAATCCAATTTATTGTGAGTATAAGGTCTAAGCCATGGAAAGCATTGGTAACCAAAAACTTTGAGTTTGGAATAATCCGGGTGTTGATGAAACAAAATCTCCCAAGGAGATTGTGAGAGACCAGAAAGTGGAAGACGATTAATGAGATAAAGGGCAATAGAGAAAGCCTCGACCCAAAACACATGAGGGACATGAGAAGCAACAAGTAGAGTCCGAGCGGTCTCAACAAGATGGCGGTGTTTCCTCTCAGCACAACCGTTTTGTTCAGGCGTGTGTGGACAGCTGAATTGATGAAAAATACCATGTGCACTAAGAAAAGAGGCAAACGAATGACCAGTAAATTCACCCCCTGAATCTGAACGCAACACTTTGATTTTATTACCAAGCAGATTTTCTACATAGTTCTTGAACACAACAAAGGTAGAAAGTACATCTGACTTGGCTTTCAAAGGAAAAAACCAACTGTATTTACCGAAATCATCAACAAGAAGTAAGTAATAGCGGAAACCACTGCTAGATGTAACAGGAGCAGGTCCCCACAAATCACAGTGTACAAGTTGAAGACTGTGAGTAGTTGCTGAAGAAGACAAACCAAAAGGAAGCTTGTGGTTCTTTGCCAATGCACAATCTGAACAGAAAAAATCAACTGTAGATTTGCCGTGCACTGCAAGATTATTTGTAGAGATTACCCGACGGAAAATAGCAGAAGAGGGATGACCCAAGCACCTATGCCAGATTTTTATTGGAGCTTTAATATTGACAAAGGCTGAGGCAGCAAGTGAAGAATAAGCATTACCAGATACGAGACTAGGAGATGTGGTAGACTGCAAAGGATAGAAGCCGTCTTTAACTGAACCCCGCAAAAGCGTCTTCCCTGTGGAACGATCCTTAACAACGGATCCATCAGAATCAAGAGTCAATGAACAGTAATTGTCCCGGAGAAATTGAATGGCAGACAACAAATTGTGTTGTATGTGAGGAACATGCAGAACATTTGACAAGTTAAACGAAGAAGTAGGTGTTCGTAATGTAGATGAACCAACATGAGAAATGGACAGACCTTTACCATCACCTATATAACCCTTGTCTTCACCAGTGTAGGGAGTAGGAGAGTTGATGTGGGATGTGTCATTAGTAATGTGCGAAGTAGCTCCGGAGTCAATTAACCAAGTAGGAGAGGACTTGGCATTAGAACGAGCACACATGGCTTGGAGTTTGGCAGGAGGGATGCGACCATAGATTTCAGGATTCATACGGTCAAAGCAATCAAGTGCTTCATGACTTGAGTTACCACAAATTTGGCAAGGAGCCCGAGGACCAGAAGAAGAACCACGAGATTGAGCAGATGCATTGGAGCGATGGAAGTTATTAGTGGAAGAATTACCATGATAAGAACCTCGATTGCCACGATAAGTGCCACGATTGATCTTCCCACGGTTCGAATTATAACGAAAAGAGTGCTGAAGTGGTGGATTCTAAGCAATATACACCTGAGGTGGGTTGGGAAGCAGTAGAGGTTGAGCTTGAATGGATAAGGCATGAAACGGTTCAGACATACTAGAAGAGACATTTCTTGAGACGATTCAGAGAGCTTTTTGGTAAGGAGTAAGCCATGTAATTCATCCAAAGAGGTAGAAGTTAACCGAAGCATGATGGAGTCGGTGAATGATTCAAACTCATCAGGAAGGCCAGCCAGAGTAGCAGCGATGAGATCGCGATCCGAAATTGAGGATCCAGCAGCAGTTAGAGAGTCGAAGATCTCTTTGAGCTCTTGCAAATAATCAGACATGGATCGAGAACCTTTCTGAACACTTTGAAGGCGAGAACGAAGCTGATGAACACGTGCATCAGAAACACCCCCAAATCGTTGTTCGAGCTTAAGCCATAGATCACGAGAAGACGACACGCCAACTGTGAAAGGAATTACCTCTTCAGATAACGTGGAATTAAACTAGATCAGGAGATTCTGATCTTTCTCATACCAAACTTCAAAATCCGGATTAAGAGTACGATCAGGCAGAAGAGGGGCGGGACGGGGTTCTGTGCCATCAACGATACCAAGAAGACGATATCGCTGAAGAATCGGAGCAAACAGAGCACACCATGGCAGATAATTGGTCCGCTTGAGCTTGATTGGCACCATGCTGCCAATGTTTTGGATTGTGATAGAGGAATATGAAGAGGAATTAGGGTTAGAAGAAGGAGGGATACCAGGCACCGACTCAGATGAAGTTGCCATTAGAGAGCAAGAAACAGATCAAGATCAACAGGAGTAGAACAAAGTTGCCACAAAGAACAATCGAATCAAGGTACAGATCAGAAGATCAGAAGACCGGAGCGGAAGAGAAGAGGATCGAGAAAAGCCGTGAGGCGACTGGCGATGAAACCATATAGAACGATAAAACTTCCTTTGCAAGATTGTATTTTACTCAATGAATTACAATTACACCGAAAAGAATATATATAGCCTTTTGGCTCTTTACAAATCTACCCTTGACTATTATAACTAAACTTATAACCATCCTAACTAATTACAGTTAATAACAACCTAACCACATTTAGCTTTTACTTAACTGTTTAACATCAACAGAAATGGAAGATTTGTTATCTTCCTTAATATACCCTTCTCAGCAACTTTTTCTTGAAATAATTTAAGGGGGTCTATTTTAAATGCATCTAGCAAATTATCTGGATTTTAAAAAATTTGGTGCCAGTAATATAGATGTTGAAATTTTCTCTGACGTGTGCAGGGTATGAAGCCTCTCAAGTAGAATTTGTCTGCCTGGGAATTACTTGTTTCAACTTTCAAGTGCTAATGTTTGCTTTCTCTTTTCCTTTTTTGAGGTAATTGTTCAAGTACTAATGACTTTGCATGTCACTTTTCTTTTAAAACCTACTCTCCTCTTGACTTTTATCAACCTGCCTTCCAATAGCTTACCTTGCGTGACAATTCTTATTTGTCAGATACTGGTATATGCAGTTTATGCACAGACATTGTTTCGAGGCTAAAAGGATGAATGCGCTCTCAGCTTGTATTCTTCGACACAGCAAAGCTAGAAGAAAAGGCTTAGATTCTTCGACACAGCAAAACTAGAAAAGGCTTGTTGGTTCATTTGGTTGGACGGTTGGACCATTGCCTCTAATTGCCATCGTTCAATGTGTCTTTCAAAAGAATAAAGTAATCATAGGGTTGGGCTTACCGTTGCTCTTCAAATTAAGTTTTGGAGTTCTTAATATTTTCGATGAACTTTGTGTGTTTGAGATTGTACACTCACTTTAGACTATGTTTGGACGAGAGATTTTTTCAAATCTTAAGGGATTGAGGCCAAGTTAGTAAAGAATGGACTACAAAATGTTAGACGTAAGCGATTGAAAATGCTCTGCAGATGCTTGTACTGGGACTTGGAATTGTGTTTCGTTTATCAAAGTCTATTAGGAATTCTCTACCCATTTTCGTCAGAATCGAAACACGTCATGCGTCGTGCACATGGGCCTTGTAGGATATGGTCGATTACAACTTGTGGGATAGGGCTTTTTGGAACTAAAAGATATGCTTTTGGGTCATTGGTCCATTAAATGTTTGTTAGGTTTATAGTTTATCTCTTTTGGAATCAATGCACACAGTTTTAGTAGTGTCATTGATCTGTTAATGTTACATGTTTAAAACTACCACAACTATCTAATTGACGTTTGCCATATGCCGTCATCGGTTCCATGAGAACACGTCTCTTTAAATGTGACATTTCATTAATATCATCTAAATACCATATTTAGAAAATTCATTCGATTTGAAACTGTTTTACATCCATGTCTATTGAACAAACCAATGATTATAGTAATTCATAGATGACTAAATAATCTTGAGATCGAATGAATTTTTCTAAGATGATGGTTAGATGATGATAAGGGGAATGAATAACTATGATTATAATATTTCCAAACCTTTAAGGAAAGGGAACTTCACTTTTTTTTTTTCAAGACAGTGGGATTAGTTGTGGATTTACACCACATCGAACTTCATAATTATCTTTGCAAAAATTTAATTCAATTCAAAACTATATATCCATTTAATTATCATGACAAAATTTTAATATCATAAATATTTTTAATTTGACTTGTATTTTGTAATGATGATTTATGAGGAGGATGAGGAGAGTAATTATCCTTACAAACTGGCGGATGAGAAAGTGTTGGAAAGACCAATGCTGGATGGGCAATCAAAGGCAGTAGCCAGCCGGCCCATAATGCTTTACACAAATATCAAGGCTAAGTCGTTGTCGACGTGTCGTGCAACAATCTCTTTCATCCCACCAATAACATTTCCATATGTTTTTTTCTGACAAGTGACCAACACCATAAATAAATAGGTAAATAGATAAATAGATAAATAGCAAAAGGAGGAGGATACAGGGAGAAGACGGGAAGCGAAAGAAGAATTATCTTTGCTGGAGTCGAGTCCTTGTTAACAAAGAAAGACTTGATAGAAAGATAGAAAGGGGAGTGGAGGGAGGAAGATGGCTACTATAAGAATTCCGCAGCTGTATTTTGGTGCTGCGACTTGCCTGTTACTTTTAGGGGCCATCTCCAGCTTTCAACCCCAGGTGAGTTGGTCTTGTCAATTAATCTCCCTTGATCTTATCCGTGTTTGTTTTGTTTCCTTTCTTTGACTCATAATCAATTATATGAATATGGTGGGAATTGGAGTTTCAATTCAAGTAAGAATTGACAGATGTTATTAATTTACTAGCTTAGCTATACTCTAATCAATTGTTGAAGGCTTGAAGCTAACGCCAATCGTTGGTTGCTGGCCAAAAATCAAACTAACGTTTAATACTCTCCACAGTTGATTGCGGCCAAACCACTTTCCAAGACTAAGCTTCAGTCTCCTATTCTTCAGGTTTTTCTCTTTTGCTTCCTCATCTATCAATGCTATGGATAAATACAGTACCTGTTTTTTTGGGGGTTGGGGGTGTTAGGTTAATAACTGAGACTTCCATTCCATTATTAATTTGTGATTCACCCCCAAACAGGACTCGATCATTAAACAGATAAATGAAAACCCCAAGGCTGGATGGGAAGCTGCCATGAATCCTCGATTCTCCAATTACACTGTGAGTCTTTCAACCCAAGGATCTTCTTATGCTCACATTTTAACGAATTTCCTGCCCTCCTATTGCCTCACAGATGCATATATTGCATATTTTTGTATTACTACTAGGTCCCAAGATTTTTCCTTTTCTTTCCACAGGTTAGCCAGTTTATGCACCTCCTGGGAGTCAAACCAACACCCCAAAAGGATTTGCAGAGTTTTCCTATTAAAACTTATCCAAAATCTCTCAAGTTGCCAAATAATTTTGATGCCAGAACCGCTTGGCCTCAGTGTAACACCATTGGAAGAATATTAGGTCAGTTGGTGATTTCGTTTTATACGTTGTTATCCCACTTTTTCTTTGATATAAAAATTAAAAGACAAAAGGTGCTGATGAATTCCCCTTTTTATGTCAAATGCTGGATCAATTTCTTTAATGAAGATCAGGTAATAATTTGTCCTACATCTCATGATATATTGTCCAATAAATTGATGCCGAAAATTCAAAGGGAAAATTTACTTTTCCTGGAAATATAGGGTCACTGTGGCTCTTGTTGGGCTTTTGCTGCTGTTGAAGCACTATCAGATCGTTTTTGCGTCCGTTATGGCATGGTAAAAGCTGCCCCTCTTTCTTTTTTCCATTTCTAATGTACATTGATTTCTTTTGTATATTTTGTTCTCTTTTTTAATTTGCTTTATGCTTTATTGCAGAATATCTCTCTGTCTGTTAATGATCTCCTAGCATGTTGTGGTTTCATGTGTGGAGCTGGTTGTAATGGGGGATATCCAATTTATGCTTGGCGGTACTTTATCCACCATGGTGTTGTCACTGAAGAGGTAGCAAATTCATATACCAATCCTACCTCTCCAGTGGAATCTCAAAACGATAGTAGATAAACCTTACATAATGTTTTCAAGATCATAATCAGTTCCAACCCTAACCCTCACATCATTGCAAGTTTACCTTTGACATTGAAATGATATCTTAGTGCTCTCTTACCTTAGAACTCGAAGCCTTCTTGCAACATAAGAACCATTCCCAAACCTTGCTCCCAAGCTCAGTCTTCCTCCACTGTTAGAATGACTGTCACTGCTTACTTTAGAATCACAAGTTTTTCTTGTGATGTAGGTATAATTCTTAGCTCATCCTAATTCCTAAACAAGGAGGTCAGCGTAACTGCAGAAAATAAGGGAGGTCATTGTTTTACCTAAAGACAATGGGTTCCTTTGTATTTCCAACCAATTCTCACCCAAAAGGGAAGTCCAACTCTTGCAACATAGGGACCATTCCTAACCCTTGCATTAAAAGCATACTCTTCTTCCATTGTTAGAATGATTGTCTGTGCACCCGAATTGCAAGTCTTTCTTCTAACTTGGGAAAAATTCCGTAGTTCATCCTAAACAGGGAAGTCAATATAACAAAAAAAAAAAAAAAAAAGAGGTCCCTGTGTTAATCTCTCCATTGAATCTGCGCCAGTATTGTCTGATATAAAATTTAAGGGTTCTTTCTTTCATTAGGTTCATAAACGTCTTTTAAATACTGCATGAAGTCCTGATTAGTGTTCCATCTGGCAGTGTGACCCATACTTTGATTCAACTGGCTGCTCGCACCCTGGTTGTGATCCTGCGTATCCTACTCCAAAGTGCGTTAAAAAATGTGTAGATGGGAACCAGATCTGGAAGAATTCAAAGCATTATAGTATCAGTGCGTATAGAATCAACTCTGATCCTCACAGTATCATGGCAGAGGTTTATAGGAATGGACCAGTTGAGGTTGCATTCACTGTTTACGAGGTAAGTTCTTGTTCCATAATTGAAAACAGCAATTTAGGTGTACAATGTTCTTAACACTTTCTGTCCCTTTCTCTTTTTTTTTTCGTCCCCATTTGTGATATTGGAAAAGAACTAAATATGATTATTTGCCTCCTTCATATGATTATCGGTCTTCACTGAGATTTCAACTCCTAATGCATTGATGGCCTGGCACTCCAAACTTGATATCATCTTATAACATTTTCAAGAACATTTTACGTCTCTTCACAATTATCATTCATATTAAAAGTGAAGGGGTTTTGGGGAGAAACTAGGGGGGGGGGGGGGGGGGGGAGAGGGTGGCGCAGGGGGCGATAATACCTACAGAGTTGCAGCTTTTTTTCATTGAACCTCAAATTCCTCTCCTTTTACTAGTAGTATGCATGAGCTGAGTGTGACACTGTAATGAACACAACTGAACTCATAGTCAGCTTAAAGTCAAGAAGATTAGAGAAAAAAAAAATGGCATCATCACTTTGCACATTCGAGCAGTCTTATCTTTGCTGTCAATTTGGTCATCAGACTCTATCCTAAACTTAATTCAGGATTAACCCTCATATACTATCTTGGATATGTGATCCTTGATTCTCCGGTGTCCTCGGTATTGTGGTTGCAGTTGGTTAAGGAAATGGGATTGTGTTGGATAATTCCAAAGGATTCTTTCTCTTTTCAGTGAATCTTTTGCTATCTCTTGGAAGGGTAAGAAATCAAAGGTGATGTGGAGTTGTATGATTGCTCTGGTTTCATTATTTGGATGGAAAGAACAGAAAGATTTTTGAAGATTATGTTGGCACTATGGAGTATAGTTAAGTTTTGTTGGCTCTTTGAGCTTCAGTTTCCCCCAATTCAAAAGGAATCGCATCTCCTTAATCTGCCTATTGGAAAGCTGCCATGTCCTAGTTCTGATTAGGCCTTTTGTTCTTTTCAGAGTTGGATGTTTTTGTCTCAATCCTGCACTTCTGCTTCATCTTTTTAGGGGTGGTCCGGCCACCGCCTTTTGTTCTTTTCGAAGAAAACAACAAGTGCGTGTTGGTTTTTCTGTTAAATGTCATGACATGTGAAATGCCAAGTATATAAACTAGGAACTTTGATGACCAGTTGCAAGAAATTGACATTTAAAGAATAAACAATGGGAATTGTTATTGGCACTCCAAACTTTGTATGTTGAGAAAGAAAAATACTCTTATGCGGAGTGCACATTTCGATTTTTGGAATGCCAATAATAGTTCGCTAAACTCAACGCAATTTTTGTTTTGTTTCAACTGTTTTACAGGACTTTGCACACTATAAATCAGGAGTTTACAAACATGTTAAAGGTGATGTATTGGGAGGTCATGCTGTTAAGCTAATTGGATGGGGGACAACCAATGATGGAGAGGACTATTGGGTATGTCTATGCACCGGTATTTTCTGCAACCAGAATTTTTCTTCTAACACTAGTTGTTGACCGTGCACTCTTGTGTTTCAGCTTCTGGCGAATCAGTGGAATATAAGCTGGGGTGATGTATGTCTCAATTAAATTGTTTATTTGTTTTGAAACAACTATGGATAACAGTTATACGTGGCCTCTCAGATCCTCAAGCACAAATTAATTGTGTAAGCGTAATTGCATATGGTGTGCAGGATGGCTACTTCATGATCAGAAGGGGAACAAACGAGTGTGGAATTGAAGAAGACGTGGTTGCCGGTTTGCCTTCATCCAAAAATTTTATAAGCCAAGTTGCCAGTGTGGATGCTGTTGCGGCGGGTGTTTCAGTTTGACAGACATCATTCGGTATCTGGTGTAAACCAATTACAAATTGGTTTGCCACTTCCACTGTGTTATGCCACCGCTTTTCACGTTATAAATAAATAAAGTAAAAACATAAAGAGGGAGCGATAACACTTCTTAAGGGCTAGTTTGGTATTGCAGTGCTTTGAAAAAAAAATTGCTTCTGTGAGAATAAGCAACTGTGAAATAAAGTAGCGGAGTGTTTGGTAAATTTTTTTGTAAAAGTGCTTTTGAAAAAAAAAAAGCAGTATTATAGTGTTTGATAAACTTTTATGTAAAACAGATATGAAAAAAAGTTGATTTTTCAAAGTTGGGTTTTGCAGCTTTGTGTTTTTAGCTTTTTTTTTTATCTAAAACTGTGAAAAAAAGCTAAAACTGAATGTTTACCAAACATAGAAAAATTCACAGCTTTTTTTAATAGTGATTTTTTTTTTTTTCAGAATCATACCAAACTAGGGCTCAATCTCACTCCCATGCTTACCCTTACATGATTTGTTGCATTCAAAATATTTGTACACTTGTGCTCCCTATTAGAAAGGGCGAATAAAAACTGAATGTAATTTACTCCCCCTGTTTTCTGGAGTAACCAATTGGTACTTGGTCTTAATTAACTTATTTCTAAGTAAATATTAGTTAACAAATTAGGTTATTTCTAAGCAAAGATAAATCTTTAAGTTCCTAAAACCAGTTCAATACAAATCATAATACCAAATTAAATTGGAAAATTTAGTGCTGAAATTTCGAAGAGGTGGGTTTTTGGAACCGATATCAACCTGCCACCATCAACTGAAAATTTGGATCGGTTGCGCCGCGGTCACCGCTGTTGTGGCCACCACCTACAACTACTACAACCACCCTTACACTATTGCCAACATCACCACCGTCATCGCTGCCACCGTCAAGTATGCACCACTCTCGGCCAGCATTAATGCCCCTACACTGCCAATTACCCCATCAATGTCTATGCCACAGCCGCCAGTGCTGCCATCACCGTGGTTGTTGTTGCCACTCTCACTACCATGTTCGTATTCGTCATTGCATTTTTATAATACTTTTTATACTCGCGACACTTTTAAAACTACTATTTTTTATCCAATACCGAACTATTTTATTTTACAATTAATTATTCTTACAACGAGCAATTTAAAAAAAACAGAGCAATCAGCCTTGATACATTTAAATGTTTGCCGTGGCAAATGGCAAAAGAAATAAACCAAGAATCCGAAGAAAAAAACACGCTTTTCACGTTTAGCAGTGTGAAGAGTGATTGAGGTGGAGTAGGAGGAGGAGGGGCCTCGAGGACTCTCTTCTGCCCCACTTCGCTTTCGCACTCGCACATCAACTCAGCAACTCAGCAACTCAGTCTCAACAAAAAAACATCTTGTCATCGACATCCATCCCTCGCTCGCACTTTCTCTCTCTCTCTCTCTCTCTCTCTCTCTCTCTCTCTCTCTCGCTTTAGGAGAGAGACATTTGTTTCCAGTAGAAACTGAGGATTGGATTGGAGGTAATTATAAAATCCGGCTCTTTTCCTATTTCTAAATTCAATTCAGTTCAATTGTACCCATCTCTCTCTCTCTCTCTCTCTCTCTCTCTCTCTCTCTCTCACAATTGAGGATAGATTCCTTTGGTTTTTTTGTTGTTGTTGGATTACTTTCCTATTTCTTCTACTTTGTAGTCTGTGAATCTCATCCTTTCATCATCGTATGTTTGTATGTGGTCAGTCATTGGTCTGCGGTGTGCTTGCTTAGGGCAATTTTTGACCTACGACGACTAACTAGACTACTGAAATAGCAATAGCAGTAGCACTACTAGAAGAAAGAAGGAAATTGTTGCGGTTGCGGTTGCTGGTTTGTTTTTGATTTGATACCCAAGAAAGAAACTAGATAAATGAACCATGTCGATACCAAAGGAGCCGGAGCAGGTAATGAAACTAAGAGGAGGATCAGTGCTGGGCAAGAAGACCATTCTCAAGAGCGACCACTTCCCAGGCTGCCAGAACAAACGCTTGTATCCCCACATCGATGGTGCTCCCAATTACCGTCAGGTTTCTTACTTCTCTTAAAATCAGCCAACCATTTTTCTTTTGATATGCTATACATCCTTTTGGGTTAATGGATTCAATTTAGTAAGCACTTGTTTGTTAGATTGACCACTGAATCTATTGGTTGCTTTTAATGCTTCAATTCTACAACTTCACGTTGCATATGTAGACAATCACATACTTGCCACTTACAATTTCACTTGAGTTGTCACCAAAATGTACATTGTCAAGTAGTTGCCTCTTCAACCAATGTGGTCTCAGGTATATAAATCTGTCCGTAATCAGGTTCAACATATTTTCATTGTAGCATCCTAATGCTTACGGTTTAATGAAACTTGAATTTTACATGGAAACTTCTCTAAATCACTGGCACATGTTTCACGTCATTTCCCTTCTCATCACCTTGCGTTGTTTGATCCGTTTTCCTTCCATATTTATCCTCTTGGTTTATAGGCCGATTTGCTACATGTTCATGGTGTTGCCATTCCAACAATCGATGGAATCCAGAATGTTCTTAACCATATTGGAGCTCAAGAAATTGATGGCAAGCGAGCACAAGTTCTTTGGATTAACCTTCGCGAGGAGCCGGTAAGGTTAATATGTTCCATGCTATTTCTACCTGTCAGAGTTTGGTTTCTTTCTTTCCTATGTTGTAAGTTTGCACAATACAATTGGTGCAAACGACTAGCATCATATTTCAGTTATAAAATGTGCATCGTCTTTTTGATTGTTAATAACCAAAATAATAAATTATTGTAGGAAATCTTGTTTTCAGAATATAGTAATGATCAAGTTTCAACATTTTAATCTTGAGTATGCTGTCACCCAATCCGGAACTAAATGCAGTTTTGGGAAGTTAATATTGAAAATTATTGTATAAACAAGAAACCTAAACTATAAATTTAATGAATAGCTATTGACAGTCAAAAGCTAATGAGCTCAACTGTTTATGATGATATTGTGCCTATACATCAAGTAATAGCTCTTGGTTTCATCCTCTCACTGAATCCCGTAGTAATTGTAGTATTCAATGTTGCCCATTCTGCCAACTTGTGTGTTGAGCCACGGATGAATTTTCCAGACACTTTTGTTTTTTTAATGAAATGAAATATTATTGCATATGACAATAAACTTGCACAAGTGGACAATATGTCTGTAAAGAAAAGCAGAAAGCAATCAACAAGACGACAAACAAAGTCCCCATAAAATTGTAAGAGCTAAGAAAATTCCATAAAGCTAACTAATGGCAGCTTTCCAATGAAGCCAAATAAGGGAAAAGATTCTTTAAATTCTGTAGAAACTGAATACCATAATAAAGACCATAAACGAACTTTATCCCACAACATTTGTCTTCTGGTACGAAATATCTGAATAAAGGATCTGAAATTGACTTGTAAAGATCTGAACGAAGACCGTATCTGTCTACGGATTCTTATATGGTGGGCAGACGTTAATAAAGGATCTGAATCTGACTTGTAAAGGATGGTAGAAAACTGTAAGGTTAATGGTGATCTGGCTTAAATTATTTAGGTTGTTTAGAGGATGGTTTGGTATGGAAAAATGTTTAGGGTTTTCAAATCAGGAATTTCCCGTTAGAATGTGTACATTCCACTTACCTAAACCCATTATACTCTCTGGAATCCTACCCTCAAGTCCTAGCTTCTTTGACCTCACTCGTCCAGTAAGGTCAAATTACTTCTTTTGAGTGTCCCGGGTAAAGTTGATGTCATTAGATGTTTCCAAACAACTTTGAGTGGAGTTGTTAAAAAAGAAGTTTCTACGTCACCCTTGATTGTTTAACATTGCATCCGGGCGTCGATGGAGATACAACGACCCTTGCTTAATTATCACTGTGCCTGGCCACATAGGGCGTCACTTCCAGGTGACGACCTAGCTTTAGTGCAATTTTGTTTAAGATTCTCCCCCTCCCTCTTTATCCGAGCTTGGGACCAGTAGCGTGAGATAAACTTACACAGGCAAAGTTCTATTTACCCCACCAAAGAGGGACAAAAAGAATAAGAGAAAGCTAGGCTTGAAAGGATGGATTGTAGAGAGATACTTCAGAATGAATGAGTTGAATTCTTGTACCATAAGGTGGGTCTGTTGGTTGTATCAATTAGTAGAGTTCCCTTAAGCCCCAGTTTCCATGTAAATCCACCTCTCCCCTCTGGTCAACCAATTATTCCTTTTGTTTTTTAAGGGTGCGTTTTTGGGCTTCTTTGTGTGCATATGCCTTCAGAATTTAGAGAGTTATCCTTTTCTTTTATTTGGTCAAATTGGAAAGCCTCTGTATATTGGTTGTATTTTTTTATGCTACAGACCACTTGTTCACCATTGTTGTATTAGTTTTTCATTAATAAAAGCTTGTTTCATATAAATACAAAAGGGGATTAGATTTGCCATCTATTCCAAGATGTTTCCAAACATAGGACTAATCTAAAATAGTCTAGTCCTACTCCTTAATTGGTATATAAAGGTACTCTTAGACTTGCAACATCTCTTATTCTAATTTTTCAATTTTTTGAAAAAAAAAAAATCCTTGAGTATGCATTTTCTGATGATACTTCATATCTTCAAACAGGTGGTCTATATTAATGGTCGCCCTTTTGTTTTGCGTGATGTGGAGAGGCCCTTTTCCAACCTTGAATATACGGTATGCTTTTTGTAAATGTAATTTTACCATCAATTTTGGCATATTCAATGATTTGGTTATTAAATACTTGCCTTCATTACTTAAGAAGTAGAGAACGAATAACCGCATGGTCTAACATTATCTATTATAAAATATAGTTCTTCTTACATTAATTTGAATTTCGAGTGCGCTGATTATAGTACTTGCTTTAATGGGGGATTTCTGGTTTTTTTTTTGGGGGGGGGGGGGGGAGAATATGGTGGTTTTTTTTCTTTTTGTTCTTTTGTTTTTACCTTTCTGTTTTTGTTTTGTATTGGGGTTGGGACTTAGAGAATGTAGAGGATTGATAGTTATAATACATGCATAATGCTATTTGCATTGCAATGCACATGTCAACATGTTAATTAGCCACATTTTCTGTTTCCTTCTAAATTGATTGTGGCTTTACAAAAACCATCAGGGAATTAACAGGGCTAGGGTTGAACAAATGGAAGCCCGGTTAAAGGAAGATATTTTAACTGAAGCTGCAAGGTATCTCCTTTGGTTGTACGCTGAATTTACCTCTGGATGTTAGGAAATTGTGCACCATAAACTTAAACATTTTCTCACGCCTGCTTTCTATGATATTGGACATTATTTCCACATCTGAAATAGCAGATATGGAAATAAGATCCTTGTCACTGATGAACTGCCAGATGGTCAGATGGTGGATCAATGGGAACCAGTGTCACGTGAATCTGTGAAGACACCACTAGAGGTATCTCATTGGAACAACTACCATAGATGGGAATGAGAGAACAGGTGAAAACCCACCTACATACTTAATATTAAGTAATTTATTTATTTTATTATTCTGTAGGTTTACGAGGAATTGCAAGAACAAGGATACCTTGTTGACTATGAACGTGTTCCTATAACTGACGAAAAGTCACCTAAGGAGCTGGATTTCGATATTTTGGTTAGTTCATTTTCTAGTCGAATAGTACATGTAGCACAATTCTTTTCAGGCCAGGTAAAACCTGGACCAAACCTCAACCAATTGGGTCCAAGAAATGGGAACCAAGACCAACCCAACCTAAATTGGTTGGAGGGCATTAGTTCTTGACATGACCATGAATTGAGCTGCACTCTTAGAGTTAATGTCTGTTTGTGGTCTTGTGGTCATAGTCTTCATCGATCGGGTGGTCAGATGCAATCTAATAATATTATCACCTTCCTGAATTACATTTGCTGATGTGTGCGCTTTATTTACTCTTTCATTCTTTGTATTCAGGTTCATAAAATTTCTCAAGCTGACATAAATGCAGAAATAATTTTTAACTGTCAAATGGGACGTGGGCGAACTACAACAGGAATGGTGATTGCAACTTTGATATACCTCAACCGTACAGGAGCTTCCGGTAATCCTCTTACTCTGTTCACTCAAATACTAATTCTATTGAATCGACTCATTTCAGTCATCCGAAGGAGTTTTGTTGTTCTAGAACTTGTTAACTTGGTTATTCTATATTTCTTTTCTGAAGGAGTTTGTTTGTGCTATTCTAATGAAAGTAGGATTTCCTCATATGCTTCTTCTTCTCTCCACCCCTTCCATTTCAAGTTTAAACAGTATATTATGTGATTTCTGATATTAGAAGACACTAATCACAAAGACAACATAGTTATAATCATCCAACTCATATCAGGGACTCATATCAGCCTCTCTGAACAGCCTCAACCACAAGGACAACACATTTGGACAGAAAATAAGCAAGTGGTCTAATTTTAAGTCTCACTTTTACTCAAAAATCAAAACACATCAATGTGGACGACATTGACAAGAAAAAGGTCGTCTCCTTGTTGAAGCCATATACAAGTAATCAACCTCCTGTGATTAATTGATTATCTATTTTCCTCTTTGCTACCCCCTCCCACGAAACATTCCTCATCTCTCTTTAGCCTCTTGGTCACATTACTGGAAATCTTAAAAAGAAAGGTGATTACCAGTACGTGTTTAAAACCGAATGGATTACAGCCTACCACCTTGAGACAAAAATTCTTTGCTCCAACCATCTAGCCTCTTCTCCACATTTTCTACAACAGGATACCAAACGCTATTGCCTCTGTGTTGCCTTGTCATTTGAAGATAATCCCAAATGTGTCATAGGCCATCTCCTCACCTCACATAACAAAACCGGGACTGACTCCATCTTTTGAGTGTTTATCCCTGCCACTCAACACTCAAGCTATTAATATTACTTTTGACTTTTGAGAAATACCAAAAGCTTTTCTTACCATTAGCAGATTCCTCCATTGAAAAATAAACCATGTTCTGCATTTTCTGCTGGTTTCTTGTGAGACTCTTGTGGTTGGTTATGCTTTTAAAGGATTTCATAATTGTATATTATTTTCAAATAAAATAGGTATTCCAAGAACCAATTCAATTGGAAAAATTTCTGAATCCAGTGAAATTGTTGGTGACAATTTTCCAAGCTCAGAAGATGCGATTCGTAGAGGTGAATATGCTGTCATAAGAAGCTTGATTCGGGTATTAGAGGTATTTGATATCTTCTTTTGCTGCCTATGGTTATATTAAATGGTTAATATATTCTCAAGTATTTTATTAATTAACAACACGCCTTTAGGGTGGTGTTGAAGGCAAGAGACAAGTGGATAAAGTCATTGACAAGTGTGCCTCTATGCAGGTGTAGTTTCAATCCTTTTTTTATTAACTTTATGGTACGGTATCTCAGCACATGTTTTACCTTTGCATGAATATTTTTTCCTTTTTGAATAGATGATTTTATTGCTTCATGTTATCTAAGGTTTTGATGGTTTATCTTAATAGTTTGATGTTTCTATCTATTGAATCTAAGTACAGAACTTACGTGAAGCAATTGGTACTTATCGCAATAGTATTATGCGCCAGCCAGATGAGATGAAAAGGGAGGCATCACTTTCATTTTTCATGGAGTATTTGGAACGATACTACTTCCTTATATGCTTTACCGTGTACATTCATTCAGAGGGAGCAGCCCTCCGTTCTAGTTCCTGTGATTATAGTAGTTTTGCTGATTGGATGAAAGCTAGGCCTGAACTGTATAGTATTATTCGCAGGTAAAAATAACAGTTTTAGCATTTGAGTTTTCATTTCTTTTTTTAATACCATCTTCTTGGTAATTTTTCTTTTCTTGTCTACTAAGGTACAAATGAGATGAAACTTAGTTAATGATTACTTTATGTTCATGGCTTTTTGCATATTCATAAATGAAATATAGCACAGCTTAGTTATTGGGACACCATCTGGTTAAGTTCTTTTGCTTCAATTCCTCTTGGTTGTAGGCTTCTGAGAAGAGATCCAATGGGTGCACTTGGATATGCAAGTTCGAAGCCATCTTTAAAGAAGATTGCTGAATCTGCTGATGGTCGGCCTTGTGAGATGGGTGCAGTTGCTGCCTTGAGAAAGGGCGAGGTTCTTGGTAGTCAAACAGTTCTGAAAAGTGACCACTGTCCTGGTTGTCAAAACCAAAATTTACCAGAAAGAGTGGATGGTGCCCCTAATTTCCGAGAGGTCCCTGGATTTTCAGTTTATGGAGTTGCAAATCCAACAATTGATGGTATACGGTCTGTCATCCACAGGATTGGTAGCTCCCCAGTTTTTTGGCATAATATGAGAGAAGAACCTGTTATTTATATCAACGGAAAACCATTTGTACTTCGCGAGGTTGAAAGGCCTTACAAAAATATGCTCGAGTACACGGTAATTTTTTGTCTTAGTTTTACCTTTCATGTCACATCTATATGATATTTATTGGAAATAAAAAATGAAGCACTACTTGTTGCTTGGAGTTAACTTTAACCATTAGACACTTTGCATGGTAGTTTATACTCAAAAGTTGTTTGATCATACCATAAATGACGTGGAAGAGTACAATTTTCTCCTTGCAGTATAAAGCTAGATTAAATTAATAACTTGCTATATGCTACAAGGAGCACAATGGACTCTTCTACGGCATAGGTGGTACACTTTGCATGGTACTTTAATCATCTTCATACTGTCAAAATATATGTCTAGCTGTATACAAATGTGTTACCTTGCCAGATAATTGGGCATCATGAGATGCTTCTGTTGCCTGAAGATTGGTGCAATTCATAGTTTGAGAACATAAGCATGTTATGGTAATAAAAGAAAATATTATCCTTTATATACGTTGGACTGTCAAAAAGCAACATGTCCAGAAAATGAGTGTAGGAGAGATGAGAATGCTTCGTTGGGTGTATGGGCACATGAGAAAGGATAGGATTAAGAATGAGGATATCTAAGGTAAAGTAGGAGTGGCCACATTTGAAAATAAGATAAGAGAAAATCTGTTAAGATGGTTTGAACACGTGAATCGAAGACCTATGGATGCCTCGGTTAGAAGATGCAACTAGGAGATGGAGGCTCAGGGTAAAGAGGGTATAGGAAGACCTAGGAAGATTGGGAAAGAGACTATAAGAAAAGTTATGGAGTACTTGGAGCTAACGGAAGACTTGACGCAAAACTGAGCGCAGTGGCGTTCTAAGATTCATACAGAAGAGTCTTCCTTTCAGGGGAATGATAAACATAACCACCAGCTGGCATCTAGACAATATTTACTCCTGAGGACAGCATGTCAAACGGATTTGCTCCAAGATCACATCCATAATGTTTGTATTATACCACCTAACGATACCACATTGATTCTAACTTCCCACCCCCAGTCTAGTCCTATTCCAATAGGTTTAAAACCAATTCCCACTTCACCATGTGCTATTTACCCCTTCTCCTCTGCCCTTCCCTAAAAGATCTCTAATTTACTTTTGCACTCGATTTGGAATTTTGAAGAAAGACATGGTATGCCAGTGAATTTTCCAGAACCTCTTTAGTTAATAAACAGGAAAAAGAAAGTTGCACAAAACTAAGCCTTCCACCCCTATATAACAAGCGTTTCCTTGATCTTTCATCTAGTCATACTTATATTAGACATAGAAATAATTATTAACAGAACTGTCATGCAGTGTCCAGCTTTTATAGCACCAGTCCATAATTTAAATTTTTTTTTAATCATATCAAGACAGATGTCTTTACCGTTATGGATGAGAGTTTGCACTGCAAAAGGGAAAGGGTAAATGGCTCTCTTCTCAGAACTTTAATTCCATTGAGCTTTAACAAGAGTAAGCAGAATACGGACCTCAACCTAGGCACATTTGGGGTTTCAAGCACAAAGGTGTTGTAGCATGAACATGGCATCTAAGACCCATATAAGGGTAAAATCTTGAGGCGTAATTACAACTGTCATCATTAGTACAACTGGCTTTGTTTTTGTTCCTTTTTGAGGTAGATATTGAAACTATGATCTATTTTTCCAGGGTATTGATCGTGAGAGGGTGGAGAGGATGGAAGCTCGGTTAAAAGAAGATATCTTGCGAGAAGCCGATCATTATGGGGGTGCCATAATGGTTATTCATGAAACAGATGATGGGCAAATATTTGATGCTTGGGAGCATGTAAATTCTGAGGCTATTCAGACCCCGCTAGAGGTTTTTAAAGGTTTGGAGGAAGATGGTTTTCCTATCAAGTATGCTCGTGTACCCATAACGGATGGTAAAGCTCCCAAAAGTTCTGACTTTGACACATTGGCTATTAATATTGCTTCTGCTTCCAAGGACACTGCTTTTGTTTTCAATTGCCAGGTTCACATTTAATTCTTTCCCTTTTCCTTCTTTTCCATATACGTGCAAGGAGACAACAAATTTTTTCCAAACCAATCTGTAGTATTTTTCTTTTTCCTTTAATATTCACAGATGGGTAGAGGAAGGACAACCACAGGTACGGTAATTGCTTGCCTTTTGAAACTCCGAATTGACTATGGGAGACCTATCAAAATCCTGGTTGACAATATTACCCTTGAAGAGGTGGATGGTGGTAGCTCAAGTGGTGACGAAACTGGAGGTAGTAGTGTTGCAGCAACCTCCAGTGTTACAAATTTTAGAAATGAAAAGGAGCAAAGCCGTGTATTCGGCATGAATGACATCCTCTTGTTGTGGAAAATAACAAGATTATTTGATAATGGGGTGGAATGCCGGGAGGCCTTAGATGCTATTATAGATAGATGTTCTGCTCTACAGAACATACGTCAAGCTGTTCTGCATTACAGAAAGGTATTCAATCAACAACATGTGGAGCCAAGGGTAAGGAGGGTGGCACTAAATCGTGGTGCTGAGTACTTGGAGCGCTACTTCCGTTTAATTGCTTTTGCAGCATACTTAGGAAGTGAAGCATTTGATGGATTTTGTGGGCAAGGAGAATCTAGGATGACGTTTAAGAATTGGTTGCATCAGAGACCAGAGGTTCAAGCAATGAAATGGAGCATAAGACTAAGACCTGGACGCTTTTTTACTGTCCCTGTAAATCCCTTCTACTTTTGGCTTAGAGACTTTTTTTTTTTTTTTTTTTTTTTCGGTTGGCAAGCTTACTCTAAGGTTAGTTTATATTTCTTTATTTTGGGATGGATATATAATTTTTGAACATTTTGGTTTTGGAATTCAGGAGGAGTTGAGAGCACCACATGAGTCCCAACATGGAGATGCTGTCATGGAGGCCATTGTCAAGGCCCGTAATGGTTCTGTTTTGGGGAAAGGTTCTATACTTAAAATGTATTTCTTTCCAGGTCAAAGGACGTCTAGTCACATTCAAATCCATGGTGCACCACATGTTTATAAGGTATGATTATAGTTCTTTCTGTGTGATAGATGAGTAGGGATCTCTAGTTTCTATTCAATTGGATAAGGCTACAGATGGAAAGTGTGTAACAGCATTACTTCATGTAGTTGCATTTATACAAACTTATATATTTAAATTTACATATTTGAGGTGAAGCGAGTCTGCAGGTGGTCTTCTGGTTTTAGGTGTCCTTCATGATCAATGATCTATTAAAATAAGTTAACAGGGTTGGAAAATGGTTTATCCTATGACCTTGCAGAGGGGTCGGAATTTGGAAGAATAGTGCCAAAATTAGAGCACCTAACCATTACTAATGAGCGGAGAGGTCCAGGATTTTATATATTGTGGTTCAAAGACTGTTAAATTGGATCCATATATATATTTTTTCAACATGAGACCGCACATGTGTCGGAGTCAGAGACAAATATTTGGACGCATTATGTTTGGATGATGTGGAATATTTGTAGCCATTGTGCTTGACACGTGAAAATTTTCTCTGGTTACATAACCAACCCAAAACCACCTGACGTTGGTGTAGAGGCCCAAGATATTTATGTATTGGGGTGCAAGGCTTGACATACATGATGTGGAATACTAATCTCACCAAATAGAACGTTGACCTAATAGGAGCAGGTAGGGAAAACGAGGTGCTGGGATTCTTCACCAGCAACAATACTCTCACATTTTGGGGAAAATTTTAAGCCTCTTTTGGGGATAATAATTGTGGAAAGTAGTGAAAGATGTGGTAGGAAGGTGAAGGAAAGCCTGTGGCACACATGTCTTCAGTAAGCCTCATTGAATGTTGCCTATTTAATCTAATGATGGACAAGTAATGTATTTTCTTATTGTCAAGGTTAAAAGGATTCATAGTGTTAGATTTGAGCTTGTTGCTAAAGTTGTTTAAGAAGTCCATGTGGGTTGTATTCTCATTAGGCCAGCTATGGTTTATGTACCAGGAAAGACAAAACAACACATCCATGTATAGGAAATGAAATGGATTTTAAGACGACTACAGAAAGAAAAAAATAATCAATGCCTGGGATATTAGGAGTGGTGAGCTATGTTGTATGTATATTTAAAACTCGTTGGCAATCCATACATGTATGGCTCTAACTTTTTGGTATGTCACACAGATACAACAGGGGTACAATTGCAATTTCCCTTCAAATGGGTTTCTTGGTTTTTAAAGCAAGCATGAGGGCTTACCTTGTAATATTCAAAATATTTCTGAGCCAGCCACAGAAGACCATCCTTTCTCTGCTCCTTGTTGTTTAAAATCATGAGACAGAGGCTAGGGTTGTTTTATGATTACCACCATGTAGGAGGAAAAAAGTAAAAGAAAGAGAAGGAAAAAGAAAAGAACTCACCTTTTCATATACCCAGCTCTATCGTAGGAGTAACGAACCTTATAAAACTGCCTAATGTTTTTTCACCCAGAGAACTAATTGGATTGCCTTCTTTTCTCTGCTCCTTTCTGGTTCGACAAGATAAAAGGGGCAAGTTTTTTAAAGTATTTTTCAAGCATTCACTAATTATTACACTTGTGTTTCTCTTTTTTAAAAAAGTTTGGATATTTGTCTAGTCTAGTTTATAACATAACTACTACTTCCCTATATTAGAGATAAAATGCCTCAAGAGTCATCCTCAGTTACCAAACTGACAACACAGCATCTATCTTAAGTAATTAAGTTAATTGTCGTTTAAGGTCATACAATTGAAAGATTCTAAACATTCTAGGCATTTGACTTTTTCCTTAAATGGTAATGATGGAAATTACAACTAATTGGGAAACCGTATCGGCGATGCATCAACTACATCGAAAGCTACAACATTCAAATCGATGCCAACCAATGATTATGAAACATAGATTTGTTTACTTACACTTGCTTGCATCTTTGAACAAAAATCCTCACAAGAATCATAATAGTTTTCAAGTCAATTCTATGGAGTGTTTTTGTAAAAAGTGGGTTTACTCAATAGTCTTATTTGTCGTGGTTCTTTAATTTTCAACATGTAGAATTTTTTTATTAAGAGCCCAATTACTTGTAAGTTGTAATTTATTCATTTAGAAGCATTTCCTTAGGTGTGCTGCCAAAAGAACTCTCAAGCAAGCCATAAACAGTGCACAGTGGTTTTGCGTAAAGGCTACACTCCCTACTTAATGATATGTTGAAGGTCTAACTCCGGCACTCTGAGTTATTGATTGCATGAATCAAGATATTTTTTTTATCATATTGGAGCCATATTTTTACATTGGCATGTATAACTGTTTTTATATAAGCTTTAGTGGATTACATAGAAAGGTAAGTTGGACAGAACGAAGAGACTTTCTAATTTTTTTGGCTAATTTTGTTTTTTCCTTCAATCAGGTGGATGGATATCCTGTGTATAGCATGGCTACACCAACAATTCCTGGTGCCAAAGAGATGTTGGCATATTTAGGTGCCAAACCCAAGGCAGAAGGATCTGCTGCTCGGAAAGTGGTTTTAATTGATCTGAGAGAAGAAGCAGTTGTCTACATTAATGGCACACCATTTGTCCTACGGGAGCTAAACAAACCTGTTGATACACTCAAGCATGTGGGAATCACAGGCCCAGTGGTGTGCACCGATGTTTTTTCTTTCATATTTCAAGTACAATTCTTTAAGTTAACTATAAACTCCAATTTTAAATTCAACGGAACCATTTGCAGGTGGAACACATGGAAGCACGACTAAAAGAAGATATACTATCTGAGGTCAGGCAGTCTGGTGGCCGTATGCTTTTACACCGTGAAGAATATAGCCCGGCATTGAACCAGTCCAGTGTCATAGGATACTTAGAAAACATCTTTGCAGATGATGTTAAGACACCGGCTGAAGTATATGCCGCTCTGAAAGATGAGGGTTATAATATTGCATACAGGAGAATACCATTAACTAGAGAAAGAGAGGCTTTAGCGTCTGATGTGGATGCAATTCAATACTGCATAGATGAGTAAGTATCCACGCTTCGTATGATTCCCATCTGTAACTGGTGATACCACTAAAGATATCAAAACTAACAAAATTATACCAAACAATGAAAATTGTGAAACAAAATTTATAGATGTGAATTACAAGTACTCTCAACACCATTATTTCTTTTGGGAATTTTATCTTTGCCCTCTGTTACGATAACAAAGTTGTATGCTGCAGGGATTTTTCCTAATCATGATACCACAAACATGTTACGGGAGTTTATTTTATATTTTTCTAAATGAAAAACACTCGGAGGTTTTACAGTAATACACCACTTCTGGCATCTGGATACCGCAAACATATTATGGGTGTTCAATTTGTGAATTTATTTATGAATTTAATTATAAAATTCAGTAAAATTGACTTTTACCTATAGCTCTGCAGGGTGTTACCTTTTTGTATCACACACAGGGTTTGGAGGAGTTGCATATGCAATGGCTATTATTTGTATCAGAACTGGTGCAGAAACAAATTCCCTACCAAAGGATCCACAACCATTGGTTGGAACAAACCTCATGTGTACACCTGAAGAGGATTTGCCTTCTCGAGCTTCTGATGAAGAAGTTCTGAGGATGGGTGACTACCGGGACATACTAAGCCTTACAAGAGTTCTTGTGTACGGCCCTAAGAGCAAAGCAGACGTTGACATTGTTATTGAAAGGTATTTTATATATGAAAAAGTCCATGTGGAACTTCTCTCCTTATGGTACTTCCTACTTGTCTAAGCATCAGGTAATGTCTTCAAATGTAAAAGCAGGTTTAGCAATTAGTAGTGTAGAAAAAATAAATTGGGGTGTTGGCTGTGTCATTATTAACCAGGAATTTCATACAATAGCTGGAACGACCCTCACAAATTGCAAATACTAATTTGTAGGGGCATTGGCTGTGTCATGTAACCCATGTCTTCAGTCGACATAGAAAAGAAAATAATGCTTCTATGCTTGTGAGATTGTGTTTCATTTGTGTAATTATGCACTTGCTCCATTTTTGCTTATTTTACATTTGTGGGGAGTAAATGATCCTTAACATACCTTCAGCTGCTAGTAATTGGCACTTCTTGTTGATGTTTCTTACTTTGTTTCTTCAATTAAAAGGTGCGCAGGCGCGGGACATCTGCGAGATGACATTCTTTATTATAGTAAGGAACTCAAAAAGTTCCCTGATGCTGATGACGAGCAACGAGCATATCTCATGGACATGGGGATCAAAGCATTAAAGTAGGTTGAAGTAGCATTGTCCTGCTTTTCTTTAATTTATTATGAATGTTTGCATCGTGTCTTCCACCTTTAGATAAGAAGGTTTAGCCTATGTCAAACCTTTTGAATTGCATTTCATTTACCTTTTAAAGTATTGGATAAATATAGTCAGTCCAGGTGGTATATGAAAACCAATTCCAACAGTAGGAGGTTGCATATTAGTAGAGGATAAGAACTCTTCTTTCATCTCCGAATTTTATGTTAGGAATGACAATGTCGATCCTGTGTAGTGTGTGAGCTGGTGTCATGTTGCCTTATCGCAATAGCGAAGTTAGCTTATTTGCTTTGGTTTAGGTTTGGGCCTAAAGATTTGGTCTTGGCTACAATATTATACCCCTTAAGTATTCTCTTTACATTTCTCTTTGGGCTTCAGGTTTGTCATAGTTTAGGGATTTATTTACTTTCGACTATCTTGCTAGACAGGGCGGCAGCAGAAGATGTTAATATCATGGATTTGTTATGTGGCTGCTGTAGATTTCTGCTAGTTCCCTTTGTATCTGGCTTCTGGTTGTTCACTGGTTACTTCTAAATAAATTTGTTCCTTTTCATAAAAGAAAAGAAAGAAAGAAAGAAAAAAATCATTAATTATGAGTTATTTCTTGTGTTGTATTGAGTCTTGACAATAGGTTCTCCATTTCTCATCTTACCGTTGAAACCCACAGAACCTGAATTTGTACTGCATTGATCCCGGATATGAATTCTTCACATGGATATGTTCAGCAAGCAACAACGTTTTCGTTGAGTTCATGATTCATTTTTTTGTTATATTAATTTAACCCACTCTTTCCATCTGCAGGCGTTACTTTTTCCTTATCACATTTAGGTCCTACCTTTACTGCACTTGTGCGGCTGATATAAAGTTCACATCATGGATGGACGCGAGGCCTGAACTAGGACATCTATGTAATAACCTTAGGATTGATAAATGAGTGTAAAATAAATTTTTGTGCAGTTGGCAATACATTGCCAGTCATGATTTTCATCTCTCCCTTGTTTTGTCTCTGATCGTATCACCCTGCAGTGGCATCACTGGTATGCATGCAAGTGGTCGATAGCCCTGTGGTGGTTTGGGCCTTCGAATTTGTCCCACTGCACCTGTTTCAAAACTTTCCCCCTTAAAACTAGTGTGCAGTCCTGAATGATACGATATAAAACGATCTGGCATTCAATTTCAGCCTTAGGCTCTGAATGCTGGGCAAATTTAAGAGGTTATTTCAGTTGTGCACATGCATAGGGATGACGAAAGTCCCTGATCCAAGGGAGAAGGGAGTGTTTAGAACTCGGGAACGGCTTCTGTGCTAGTTTTTGAAGAGTAAATCAGGATGCTTATATTGAGGCTGATGCATGCATCATGTATGTGACATTATTATCTCATGAAATTCCAATGCATAATGCCTTTGATATGTGGACTCTCGAATGAAGTATGAGCTTATTTGTGATAAAAAAATATTACAATTCGTTGCAGTTTTTTTTAATAATCTTTTCCATTCACTTTGTCCCACGAGTTTGTAAGGTATTTCTGAAGGGTCGTGGTTTTTGGAAGAAGAGCAGCCACCTACAAAGCCAAATAGCCCTCGCTATGAACTGAACTTTAGCTCAGTTTGTACCACTTCCGGTGGTATGGAGACATTGACATATCCAAAAGAAGCTCCAATGCCCGATTTACTATAAATATGGTCCTCTATCGAAACCAACACACAGTGAGCACCTCGATACCCCGAACAAAAACATAAGTGAAAAAAGTCGAGGAGACGTGAGGACCGATAGTCGAGAACCAGAGCCAAAATTCCCAAATCAAACCGAAGGATAAGAACCTTGATTAATGGATAGACATGCAGCTATGTGCTGGAGATCTGGCTCCATCAAATTCAGTACCACCGTTGCTTCTGAGCACGCAAAGTCATGCTATATTACATAAAAAAAAGGCAATGCTTTCGCGAAAATATGAGTTTTCGGCACATACACTGCAATGGACACCGTATTTTATATAGTACAAGCTACTCGACTCCTTTTTATTAGCTAGATTTTCCATCTTGGCATTTTATCTCCTCATGACGCGGTGACGCTCTCGTTTGCGGAAGCGCTCGAGCATGAACTGATCTGTTGCAGCTTGCCTCTGCCCTGCTGCTTCTGTGCCAGTATCATTTTGTCTGGAAACACCACCATCATCCTGTGAACTTCTGTCTTTGTAGAGTTCAGGATGTTCTGTGAGTTTCATGTTTGTTGTTAGTAATTGGTAGCATGCCATACACATAATATAATTATAAAGAATTCAACAAAAAGAAATATTTTGTGAAGTTAAAACAAAGATTAACATAAAAGGAACCTAGATCTCTTTTGTGACTATGATCGCCCTTGTCTTGCCAGTTTGGTCGGAAGTCAATCTAGGTAATCTACTTATATTGTTCAATGGAATGAAGAAGCAAAGCTAACCAACCTCGTCTAAGCTTTTCAGCATAATCCCTGCCACGCTGGAAATAGTCAGCACTGTAACTCGAAGGGATGCTAAATTCTGATTTTGTCCGTCCAATGAGCCGCTTCTCCTGCAAAAACTTCTTGGCAGCCTCAGTTTCCTCAATATTTCTCAGCTTATATCTGCAACCATTAGAAGGAAAAATGTATAGCATAAATTAAGTATCATGAGAATACATGCAAGGATTGTGCCCTCATTCTATCAATGCAGATCTAAACAACCAAGGCATAACCTTGCGGGGATCAATGCTCTATCATTAATGTCAAACGAGAATTTTCAATAACATATACAGTGTAACAAATCTAAATTTAGAAGAGCTTTACTCAATGGGAAGCTGAACCTCGGCAATCCCAGTAGTCCATTGAGTGGAGCTTTCTTCTGAGTTCCGCCTTTTCACCTGGCAGGGAATGAACCAAGTTAAAAGAAGCCATAGGTCTAGATAGGTTCGATGTTACTAACGTAGCGTAGAGCATTTTACAAAAGAAAACTAGAGGACTGAGTGACTCACTTTAAGATGGTCAGGTATTTTGTACAACTCATCTTCAGCACGCTTTAAATCATTTTCAACTTGATCTGAAGTATCAATTTTTTTGCCCCTCTTCTTTGCTAGTTCGTGTTCAACATATTTTAACCTGTCAAATGAATGATCAATATATAAGTCTGTCCTAATCATGCTGAGCGATAACAGCAGTCTATCATAGTCCCATTCAACTACACCTAATGTGAATATTGTTTGTATGGATTATGTGGGTGGCCGATGCAGTGGAGGTTTTAGAATACAACATGTGATTTGAAATACCAATGCAACTCCGGAGAACTCAAAAGCAATAGCAACAGCAAAATAGCAAGAGGACATTACATATTGGGATCTTCAGCCATGACGGCAGTTTCCTGAGCAAAAGTATCTTGGAGAACCAGATCGTCCTTGTCGCCATCGCCTCCGCCTTCACCGTTGTTGTTATTACTCGGAGAATGAGTGTCGTCACTACCTCTTTTGTTCTTGTTCTTATTAAAGCTAGCATTATTATTGCTGTTACTATTGTTGTTATTAGTGGAACCGGGAAGAGTCTGCGCGGCGGCGTTATTATTAATTAAGGCGGGGATCCCAGACTTCCTCTCCCTCTGCTTCTGAAGGAATTTCACCTCCTCCAGCGCCAACCTAAGCATTCAGTTCAGTTCCATTATTTGCAGAAACATTACATATTCTTTCTTTTCAAAATAAAATTACAGTAGAATCTGTATTTCTACTTTTCAGACAGATTTATAAATCGAGAAACGAAAACAATACCTCCTTTCTTTTTCTTCTTCATCTTCTTGGGTTTTATCACAATCTTGGTCGTTATCCTCCGCCGGAAAGCTTCTTTTTCTGAAATTCTTCGTCATCTTCATCTTCTGCTGCTGCTGCGATTGCAATCTATTCAATCTTTCCCCCAAATTCAAATTCAATTTCAGTTTCAATCTCAATTTAAGCACTCGTTATTAGATTCTAATTTTCTTAACCCTAGGCGTAGGCTACCTCCATCACAGTACGTGCCACGCGCGCGACACCCTTCTTATCTGCCCGTTTTGGTGTTTTTTTTCTTTTGTTTTTTATTTATTTTTTTCTTCTTTTTTTTTTAAGTGTACAATCATCTCATTTTGTTGAACACTACCGTACATACTAACCCCACGCCCATTTTTAAAATGAAAAATTATATTTAATATACCTCATTTACCTATCCAAACTACTCTCACTTTCCACAATCTGCACATAAAATTTTAGCACGTATTTGCCAAAACTACATAAAATTTCGGTAGGCCTTCGGTGTTAAATGGTACACCTTTCTCAAGCCCTGCCATCGCAATTCTGCTCTCCTAAGGTCTTCACTTTGAGAATGTACGGCGATCACATGAATATTAGGTACAAGATTATATTAGTTTAGAAGCTTAAAATATTTGATAATTTAATAAAGCAAAATCAATTTAAATTCCATGAATCATTAAAATACTCATTTTCTTGTTTTACTTTATTAAGTTGTTAAATATTAGATCTACATATTATTACTAATATGCATTTGGTCCTCACAGGCACATGTCCTTAAAATGAAACCTTAGGAGAGCAAGACTTCTGCTATCGATAGCTCAAAAAGTGAAGCTTTTGTTGGACATGGTTAAAGCTTCCAAGATTATTTGACTTTGGGGATTGTTTGTGCAACTAAGAGTGTCAATGCAATTAGTGTTGTTGCGATCAACTACGTTAAAAGAGTGATTTTGTTTACACTCCAAAATAGTTTCTGGACACTCAATTTCTCTGACTGTTGACTTGTATAATATTTCCCATTAATTCTGGGATTCTTATAATATTGGGTTTCCTAGTTCAGGTTGTAGATTGATTGTAATTATTCTTTCCTTATTGTAGTAGGATTGTACATGATTATATATACCTCAAAATGAGAAGAATACAATTAACACATTCAAAGCATTTTCTTCTTGGCACCAGAGCCAGGTCGTAAAAAAAGGAAAGAAAGTTTCTAACCCTAACAGGGTTTATTACTGTGCCGTGCCCAACACCACCGTGGTGCCTCTAACGAACAGCAAGCAACGTGAAGTTGTTGCTGTGTCCCGATCTTTTACCCCAAATTTTGGTGAGCAACATGTGTTGTTGCTGCCCTGAGTACCTTTGCCACTGCACAGGTTTCCTATTCTTCGTGAAAGATGTTTGTCGAGAACAACCAAATCGTTTATGCTACCACTCTGATCATGGTTTAGCCGGATAATTCAAGCTTTAACATTGAGATGGTTTTGGATGAGAAGAACTATGATTTATGGGCTTCTCTTATTCAAATTCATATTGTTGAAGGAAGAAGATGGGATATCTTCATGGGTCCATTAAGGCCCCTGCAAAGGATGATCCCAAATATGATGATTGGTTCTCTGAAGATCAGAGAATTAAGAGTGGCTCTTGTCGACAATGAAGTTGAAGATCATGAAACGTTCTATTCGATTGTCAACTTCTAAAGAGATATGGGATGCTCTTAAGAGTGCTTATTTTGATAAGAATGACGAGGTTATAATTTATTCATTAAATCAGAAAGCTTCACGTGTAACGACCCGTCCTTAAAAATTTTAGTCTTTGTAAATTTTAAATGTGAATTTACAAAAATGACCTTCGAGGCAAAGATGTTGACTTTTGTTGGCCATCTTGTCATGTCACATAAGGTTCGTTTTCTTGGCATATCCTTGTAGTACTCGTCGTAACGAATGCGTGGGCGTAAACGGAACACAATTTGGAGTTATAACGAAGAAGTTATTAACGAACGAAATCAAAGATAAAATGGTCAATTTATTATTTTCTGGAATGCTCCAGATTTTTGGAGCAAAATCTGGAAAGCCATGTGTGTGGCCCAGATGAAAAGGAAAAAAAGAGGGGTGGTTGAGATGAAAGACAAAGGAGGGGTGGGACGCCCAATCAGAAAGAAGAGAAAGAGAGAGTGACCAATAGGGAAAGCAGGAAAGGATGGGAAAGGAGAGAGTGGAGGAGGACCGGATCACCCTGACCTGGTTCCTCCCCATGTGACCGACCCAATTCTCTTCAAATTTTCCAATGGTTTTCTTCGATTTTCCTTCAATTTTCCAACAAATTGTAGCCAACCAACACCACCAATTAACTTTGTGTCATACGAGCTTCCATTGCCACCCAAGTTTGATGGCTACTGATCGTGATTTCACGACGAACACTCACGTCTGCTCCAAAGACACCCACGGCGGTGAATTCCGCCATTCCTACAACAATTTTCTTTTGATTGCCACCACTAATATACTTCCCTTGAGCTCAGGAACAATGCCCATTCACTAGTTGGAGTGTCGGAGTTGATTTGAGGACAAATAAAAAAGCCCAAATTCTAGGGTCTCGGTGAGTTCATGGCGATTTGAGGCTTTTCTCGGCCAAATTGGACTTGGCCACAGGTATAAAACTTGTTCTACTTACTGAGATCTTTATTTTTGTGAAGTTTAAGAATTTTTAGAAATAGTTGATTTTTCCGACAAGCCGGGGTGGCCGACCGCCTTGTACGGCGGTGCGTGGGCCAAGGCATCCTCTGACCTTCCTAGGCTAAATTTGATTCTCCAATTCCATACGTGAAGTTTGATTGACGAATTTTCGTCGTTTAAACCTAGTTCCATTAAAGTCCGTCGCTTGATTATTATAACAATCGACGCCAAACTTTGATACGTTATAGTACGTAATATTTGAGGACATTAGAAATTTACAGATTGGGAATCCAACGTACGGATCTTCCTGAATATGATACATAAGTTATGTGTTCTATTGATAAGAATTCTGAGACGTGATTTGATAATTGTTCTAGGCACCAATCGTTTGTGACACCTCAATATTCGTGCTAGGGAGTTGTACCACGTACCTCAGGTGAGTGGGTATTTTTTCTTTTATAGTATATATATACCTTACGATTTTCCATAAATGTTTTAAATTGATTATGCATAGCATGCCATGATTTAAATGTGTATATTGCATTGTGATGAGATTTGTGGTTATGACAAATGATCCTACAGAGGCGCAGGTAAGTTTAGGTGAGTTATTATGTGATTGAAATGGTTGAATATATGAGCATGCATATATTCATTTAGAGCTCATCAATGCTGCACCCCGGTATTAGTGCTCCCGCCATAGGCCAAGGCACATGCTTTACGTGATTGTTCACCTTTCGCACCACACGCTTGCCTTGGATCCAAGTTAGGTGCTAACCTGTTGTACAAGTTGCATTAGGCGACTCCAACTCGTAGGTGACCTACACATAGTGCTAGCTTTCACGTGATCGTAGCATTATAACGTACATATTTACACCCAACCTGTCATACAGGTCACACTAAGTGACTCAAACTCATGTGCTAGCATGGACTGATGAGCAATAGGTCCAGTCGTACATGTCACATTTGGTGACTCCGACTGTCATGTTATTTTAGACTGATCTCACACCTGACTTACATTTATTATTGCTGAGATATTGTGGCATGGCATGTTTTTGTTTTTACTGCACTTGTGCATTCATTTTTCGTACCTACATAGTATTATTTTGTGGAAACTATACGTATTTTACGACGAGGAGTTATAACGCTTTCAAAAGGTTTTTTTTAAAACTTTATTTTCAGACGCACTTACCCTTATTTTTTGCCCCTCCAGGTTCTAGTAGCAGAGTTTTCGTACCGACGAGGATTATCGGCAAATCTTGGGGTAGACGGTTACCATCGATGGTATAATTGTCACCCTATTTTACTGTATTGTACTTATGCTCTCTCATCATGTGTGAAATGAGTTCATACCCGCTCACCGCACACTCTTGTACTTAGACACTTTTAGGTTTAAATTTATTCACATCTTCCACATCAATACACTTTATGGCTTCGTCACCTTCCAAGTGTCGGCCAACATAACTCGATTCGGAGTCCAAGTGGACATCTCTGGACAGTGTGTATCATCACGTCTCAAGTAGAATGAGCGGTCTTTAGCTAGTTACTTTGGAAAATTGAAAGATGTTTTTCAGGAATTAGACCACTTTAACAAAGTGGCCATGACATGTGAAAAAGATGTTCTGATTTTCCAGAAGACAACGGAGCGATAAAGGTTGCATTTGTTTCTTGGTGGACTTAATGTTCATGGAGAAATACTGCACAAAGACCGACCACTTGGACTTATGGCGTCTTATGCGTTTGTCCGTTGGGAAGCAGATCGCAAGTAAACTATGAAGATGGAGGGCCAAAGCTCAGAACTGGCTGTAATGGCAACCAAGGCCCGCAACCCCTCCAATCGCACCAACCGAGGTGGGTCCAAGAATAAAAGTGGGCAACCGATAATCGGCCAACCCAGTCGTGATCGTTCTCAGGGTAAATGTCTCTATTGTGGTATGACGAGACATTCCAAAAGTCCATGCTTCGAGCTAATTGGGTATCCCGAGAATTGGGATAAGACATGTGACCCTTGCTTCAACAAACCTCGAGCTTTCGTTGCAGAAACCAATGATGATTCAGAGGATGTAGCAAGCAAAACATCAGCTCTAATTGTAGCGGCAGGTACAGATGGTAAGGCACTAATGTCTCAAATTATGTTATGAATAATACATGGATAATTGATTCTGGAGCTATTGAACATATAACTTGTGATTCTAGACATGTTTCATCACTAAAAAACTCTACCGACATTGAGGTTAATGTGGCTAATGGTGATGCCGCCCCAGGCCTTGGGGAAGGCATAGTTTCCCTTTATGATACCATGAAACTTGATACTGTTCTTGTGATTCCCTCATTGAATTATAATTTATTATTGGTTGCCTAAATAACCTTTGCCTTACATTGTTTGGTGGTGTGTTGGCCTTATTTTTGTGTATTTAATGACATCCGGACGCGAAAGGATGATTGGTTATGGTATTAGACGAGGGAAGCTATACTACCTTGAGTTAAATTCCAGTAGCTCGGGATTGCTCACTTAAGCATTGTCAATGAATGAAACTCCGGCCGAGAATAATAAAGGGTCCGATGTGTAGATGTGGCACCGTTGTCTTCGCCATACTTC